GAACTGCAGTGTCTGCTAGATATAACACCAAAATTTGCATCAAAATGGAATTTAAAGTTTAAACCAAACAAATCCAAGATAATGATAGTAGGTAAACGCTTAGATAAAACTTAAGAAATGGTACCTAGGAAATGGGCATTTGGACGAAACTAATGAATATAAATATCTGGGAGTTTATATTACCCGATCTTTGACCTTTGCTTACCATATCAATCATTTCTTAAAAGATACTTTCGAGCGCAAACTGAATTATATGACTAAGCTACTTAATGAACACGGATCTTTTAATCGCATATCTTTTGGGGATGCTCTCTGGAAATCGGTCATCCGACCATCTCTAGCACACGGATGTGCCGTATGACTACCGTCATCCGCTTCAGGTCAACAAATACTTGAAACATGGCAATATAAAACGGCGAAACTGATTTTTAATACTAAGATGAAAATACCAAAAGCTGCTCTTTTCCTAGACTTGGGATGGGAGCCAATAAACGATTTTCTTGATAGACAAAGGGTGTCTTATTTTGCTAGGATTCAAGGCCTTGACACAAGTAAATTATGTCGAATTGTATTTGAAGAGCTTAAGTCCTTAAAGCTTCAAAGGGAGTGAGATTATCCACAATATATGATCAATATTTTTAATATGGTTGGTCTGGATCACTTTTACAACTCGAATGTTAGCTCTTATATATTTAAACAGTTTCTTGGAAGGTTTGTTCGTAGAAGGGAATATCAGGAAATAAATGATAAAAGCAGTCTAGATATTTTCTCCAAATTTTAATTTTGCACAAGGAAGGCAACCATATCTGTCGAACTTGCTGGACTTTAAGTCTGCAAGACTAAAATTGTTAACACGTACTTATTGTTTACCTGTGAACCAAGTCTTGTATAGGATGAATCTTAGCGAGAGTCCCGCTTGCCAAAAGTGTTTATGTAATTCTGATGAGTCTATTGAACATTTCCTACTAGAGTGTTCTGGCTTTTCTTCAATCCGAAATAAATACGTAACTGATATAAATGACTATCTAAGTTTTACTTTCCCGGGCCTCTGCTTCACAGAGTTATCGTCCTACGGTAAAATACAAATACTGATTGGTGATTGTTTTTATCAGGTTGATCCCTATATCAGTAAAACTTTGGACAGTTTAAGTAAAAAAATGTTGAGTGAAATGTACTCTCAGAGATCATTGGTTTTGGAACCTAAACTGTAAATGTTATTTGTTTATGTAATATGTTTATGTAGCTCTTAGTTTAGTTCATATTTTTATATTGTACATAATGTTTATTTCTCTTATGTAATATGTCTTATTTTATAATGTACCAATTTTAACTCTGAAAATGTTATATGAATATTTTTACTTGTCTGTATATATTCATTGCATATGCTGTTAGACGCATTTGTGGATACCCCGTCCGCAAGTGCCCCCGTTGTAAAGGGATAGATCCTAAATAAATATATATATATTATATATATAGAGACGCGTTTTTCATGTTGAGGTTTTTTACCGGGGTGTAAAGAACTACGATAAATTCGGGTTCAAACGTAGTAATTTACACAATCTATCATAGTATAGTAATAATTCGGGTCTGTACGTGTGTACTTTTCCAAATTGACTGTTTTTCGGGGTAGGGATTTTCAGAAACACTATTTTTTTTTTGCCGGTATACTTTTGACTCGGACATGACTTCTACTATTGAATTGGACACAATTTTAACTTGAGTCATTTCCGCATACCCCATCAAATCCAAAGAGTTACCCCTTGCATATGATATTACTTGATTTTGGGAAACGTTTTACACACTTAAAGTGACTTGGAGGAATAACATACATCGCGGGAATTCAAAATTATTTACATCTTACCAGATGGATGTTAGTAATTGCATCTTAACTTCTGTCATCTGCAAATTGGAATCGTGCAGAATTGACGTGTCTGGGTACGGAGGGGTGTTGGCTTTGGAGGTGACGGTCGAAACTGAGCCGGAGCTTGCAGTTGCATTATCACTGTCAAGATTTATTAAATATTCTCTCCAGACTCTGGCAAGGATTGTTGGGAAATGGGTTTCTTTGTAGAACCTTTCGTTCAGTCTGTTCAAACGGGTTTAGTAAAAAAAACTGTCATTTCCATTTAGCCTTTTCACGTTCAGGGGCGTTTCTAGGATATTTGAAAGAGGGAGCGTAGAATAAAATCTTTTGACGAGCGGAGCGAGGCGAAATTTTTTTGGACCTTTTTTTGTGCTAAAAAACATAAAATAATTGTGAAATGCACTAATGTAACGGTTCCTGACTTGAAGCATGTATATTTTATAGTTATATATAGAGTGTCAGGGTTTGACCTTTTTTTTATGCCGAATTCTCTCCATTAATTGTCTATGGTATATTAAAATGATTGTATGGATCTTAACAGCAGTAGACCAATAACGAGAAATTCCACTGAATGCTAGGGTATAAGGCGTTACTTTACATTTCAATAGTCCTACTGAGGCTAGGCCAGGATTTTATGAACGGGAGGCGAAATTACGGTTGCCCTGGTAGAGGGTCCATTGGGAAGCTCAGAAGCTCCTGGATTTCAACAATTTAGCATCAAATTATGAAGTAGCCAGACTGATAAATATCTCTCTATTTTAGATTAAGTTCTGGTTTCGTTGAACGACACCCATATGATACAAGACAAACAAACACTGAAGTATAAAGTTCTTTCGTTCTTGTAGGCTTTAATGTGGAATATATGATTGAATATGAAAAATTGACGTCATTGTACTACAGTACTAAATTAAAGCAATCATGCCACTGTCTAGTTCCGATAGGTGGTATATGGTACATAAATAAATATGGTGCTTGAACTTGATGGCAATATATAGGTCAATGTCACTTAGTTACTCACTAATGGATATTGAAACAATATGATACTACCAAAGGCTATCCAGATGGGAAGTAAAATGCTATACCAAATATACATGTTACTAGTATAAATTTAATGTACCTTAACGCAAAACCTAAAATAAACACAGAAATACCGACGGACTCTCATTTTCAATGAATGGTTAGACTAGAGTGGATTCATTAGAAAAATTTTCAGAGTATATGTTTAATTAATGAATATGATAAATTGCCATATTCAATACAGTATTAGCAGATTACGATATTTTTTTTTGATTTTTTTTTTTTTAAAAAGGCGGGGGCGTACGCCCATTACGCCCTCACCTGGACCCGCCCCTGACCCTTTTCGCTATGTTGAAATGTTATGTGCGTACTGTATACATACGGATAATAATGATACGACTTGAACCGGTACGTCATGATTTAAACAAAACTTTCATTTTGAAACAAAATGCCGTAATTTAATGACATTTCATCAATTAAAAGCGACAACATACATGTGTTTCCTTTAAACATTTTATTCATTTTTTTGCCCTTTTTTTGTGCTAAAAAACATAAAATAATTGTGAAATGCACTAATGTAACGGTTCCTGACTTGAAGCATGTATATTTTATAGTTATATATAGAGTGTCAGGGTTTGACCTTTTTTTTATGCCGAATTCTCTCCATTAATTGTCTATGGTATATTAAAATGATTGTATGGATCTTAACAGCAGTAGACCAATAACGAGAAATTCCACTGAATGCTAGGGTATAAGGCGTTACTTTACATTTCAATAGTCCTACTGAGGCTAGGCCAGGATTTTATGAACGGGAGGCGAAATTACGGTTGCCCTGGTAGAGGGTCCATGGGGAAGCTCAGAAGCTCCTGGATTTCAACAATTTAGCATCAAATTATGAAGTAGCCAGACTGATAAATATCTCTCTATTTTAGATTAAGTTCTGGTTTCGTTGAACGACACCCATATGATACAAGACAAACAAACACTGAAGTATAAAGTTCTTTCGTTCTTGTAGGCTTTAATGTGGAATATATGATTGAATATGAAAAAATGACGTCATTGTACTACAGTACTAAATTAAAGCAATCATGCCACTGTCTAGTTCCGATAGGTGGTATATGGTACATAAATAAATATGGTGCTTGAACTTGATGGCAATATATAGGTCAATGTCACTTAGTTACTCACTAATGGATATTGAAACAATATGATACTACCAAAGGCTATCCAGATGGGAAGTAAAATGCTATACCAAATATACATGTTACTAGTATAAATTTAATGTACCTTAACGCAAAACCTAAAATAAACACAGAAATACCGACGGACTCACATTTTCAATGAATGGTTAGACTAGAGTGGATTCATTAGAAAAATTTTCAGAGTATATGTTTAATTAATGAATATGATAAATTGGCATATTCAATACAGTATTAGCAGATTACGATATTTTTTTTTGATTTTTTTTTTTTTGAAAAAGGCGGGGGCGTACGCCCATTACGCCCTCACCTGGACCCGCCCCTGACCTTTTTCGCTATGTTCAAATGTTATGTGCGTACTGTATACATACGGATAATAATGATACGACTTGAACCGGTACGTCATGATTTAAACAAAACTTTCATTTTGAAACAAAATGCCGTAATTTAATGACATTTCATCAATTAAAAGCGACAACATACAAGTGTTTCCTTTAAACATTTTATTCATTTTTTTGCCCTTTTTTTCAGCGATGCCGATGTGCACGCAACTGCGTGTTGGCGTATAGGGAGCTACGCGCCTGGATCTGATCGCATGTAATATCACTCGAAAAACGATTTAAAACCTGATCTACACTCGGAAAAAAGTGGACCGATTTACTCGAAAATAACACGATCTCCGCCGGACACTATACCTATCGCGGTTACTGTATTAAGAATATAAGTATTCAATTTATCACATACGAGGGGGGTCCTATGGTACATAGCAAACCATTCGTATATGTGAGTGACGATATAGTGGTCCCTGTCAGGAGTCTCCCCTCGGGCCCCTGTTTCATATGACCCCATATTATGCCTCACTTAACATATGCACGTGAATATTCCCGGACCAATATTCCCAGGGAAAGTGCAAGTAGCAAATCGAAAGTTGACACTTTGGGTTGACATATATCGCCTTTGTTATTTATGAACACACCTGTAATCATATTACATGTAACATTTTATGTCATATTATTTAAACAGAAGAAGCCAGGTGGAGTTTAACAGTTAAAAACATTTTACGCTCAGGTAAAAATCTGCCATGCTCATCGAGAGGACACCGGAAACGCATTATTTGACGAAAGAAATTGGTCAGAGAGTTGTTATTTAATATTATGAATCAGTGTCTTTATCATCAGATCAGAAAAGACCGTCGTACACAATATGAGGTCACCCGGAACTAGCATATTTTAAGATTATTCACTTATAAAAAGTTATTGTGTATTGAATAATAAATTAAGGTGTGCAAACAGAAAGTAGGAATTTAGATTAGTTAACCTGTGACTCGAATATACATCAGAGAAAGAAATTTCACATGGATTTTTAGTGTTCAATGTTTTAATCTGAAGTTAACATTTTACAACTTAGACAAAGTACTAGTGTGTTTACTTGTATATTCACAAGTGTTGACATTCTTGTAAACATGGGGAAGAAATATATTTCTTGCTGTTCATTCATGATTATTTTTCATTTTACATCAGATGTGCTTTCATTTAATCTAAATATAGACCTAGCGAAAACGTTTCAGGGAAATCCAAATGCATCAGGTTATTTTGGATATACTACAGACTTTTTATTGACCAGAGAAACTCCACCCAAAAAATGGTAAGTTTATTCAGAAACATATCAATGAAATGTATGATCATGTATAAGTCCCAGGTTTATACTAGATATTTTACAGAATCAGGGTCATTTAAAGTCATATTGAATTCACTTACATTGTATCTGTGGAAATTTAAGACTGTTTCAATATTTAAAATTTAAATCAAAATCTGTTGGGAACTCTCCATATCCTTTTTTACATGGTGCCCCTGCCCACACAAATAATTTTATTGTTTTTTTAAGTTATCATATATCCTGTTCAAACATGTACAATGTATATTTTATAATAATGGAAAATTTTTTAATATTGATATCAGATGCTAAGTAACATGTACCCCAAAATGCACAGACAAAAAAATATTTACATTGTAGTTTCCTGCATCCCTATTATATTAATGTATATATAGCTACCTACCCTAAAGTTTCATGCCTACTAACATACTTTATTGACATTTTTGGTTAAGCAACATTTAAGTCCAGAGTATTTACTCGATTTTACCCACCTACCTACTCAGTTTTTTTCTGCTGGCAGGTTTAATAGAAGAACAAATAGAACAAATCTGACATATTTTATTTTGGTCTCAATAGTTGACACTTGTAAAATATGTCATTCCATTTCATATTGATATCCATGAGATTATAGCAATGGAGTAAAAAAAAAATAAAGCTTGTTATGTATTGGCCCTTGAAAGGTTACATTTTGTACATGACATTGTAGAATACTTGATACTGCGTCCATGAATGTGAGCGGTGACTGTAATACCTTTAGGACCTTTGTTATGGATGAAGAAGACTTGTAAAGGAAATATTTTTCAACATTTATCTCTCACTAAAACATGTACAATAATGTAACTTACATGTATGTTCCCTTCTGGGAATGTGTATTTCAAACCATGCATCACAAATAATAATTGTTATGAACGATACAAAATATCTCTATTTTATGGTAATTGTATGGAAGTACAGAATAGAAGAGAATATATTTTACTCCAAATTAATGAACCAACAAGGGACATCATGCAGCTATTACAATAAACAATAAAACAAGTACAAAACAAAATTTTATACTGACATGACTGAGGGAGAGAATTAAATGTTGCAGTTATTAATGTAATGACTTAGTACACTTTGTATACCATGTATACTGACCAAGTCTTCTTGTGTTTATAACTGATGGAGCAGATCTGAATTAATTTTTTACTTTTCTTAACTTTAAAAGGCACCATGATTGGTAAGAATTAAAAAGAAATATAATGTAAACTGAAATGTTTGACTTTAGGGTAAATAAAGTAGACAGTGACAAGTTAATAATTATTTGTGAAAATAAAGATAGGGATCAGCCTGGAATCTTTACCTGTTATACATGTTATATCATATATATTGTGACTTAAGTCTTTTAATTGTTTTTTTTCTTATCAGTTCTCAATTGCCATTTTAAATGGGATTTAAAATTTGTTCTGAACTTAAGAAAGTGAAATAAAACATGATTTAGTGTGTTAAATGCATGCTATTTTGTTGGGTTATGATGGGCATATAATTTATTATGCTACACTATTAAAAGATACTTTTGCCATTTGCTGTCCTCATTTAAATTTTTTTACAATATTTGCAGTCAATTGGTAGCTACATGTAATTACAGTGTACAAGTATAAGCTCATGATGCAGCTATAAAAGTTTTGTTTATTTTATAATTAAATTAAGGTCAATAAACAAAATGTAAAGTTGAAAATGTTATATTTGAATTAGCAATATTCCATGTTTATATTACAATTGCCATTGGTGTAGTAAGCTGAATGCATTTTGAAAAAAGGAGATTGTTATAGTTCTTTGAAAAAGCATAATCCTGATAAACAGTCCAGTATAATGGTTACTTTGTATGAATGTACATACATTTTATCAGGTATATAACATCATATGCAAACTCAAACATTAAACTATAAATAATATAAACACACAAAAACATGCATCAAAACACATTAGACATACCCTGAAGGGAGACAACTCACAATGGACATTTCAAACATGTTAGTTATGTCAAAATCTGACATATAACTTATGTTAATTGAAAGAAAATTGTCATATATAAAATTGAAAACTGTCAGAAACATATAAATCTTTTGACCATGTCAGTTTGTTTTGATTCAGTCCCTGAAAGGGTTAAAGATTACATGTACATTGTAATTTTTATCACCCAATAATTTGTCTTGTTATCATGGTTATTGATAGTTACCTCAGTTTATCCTGTTTAATATAGAATAATCATGATAATGGCATATTTGTTTTTAGTCCCCTACCGAAGTCAAAGGGGACTTTAGGTTTGCACTCTGTCTGTCTGTCTGTTTGTCCGTCCGTCAGTCCGGCAAATCAGTTTTCCACACTTTTTTTCTTCATGCTTGGAGATATTGATTTGATATTTGGTGTATTGTTTTATCATGACAAGTTACAGGTCAAGTTTGAATTTTGTTCCGGTCTGATGATTTTGTGCAGAGTTATGGTCCTTGGACTTTGAAAATTCATTCAAATTATCAGTTTTCAACACATTTTTTCGTCATGCTTGAAGGTATTGATTTGATAATTGGTATATAGTTTTATCATGACCAGTTACAGATCAAATTCGAATTTTCTTGCGGTCTGATGATTTTGTGCAGAGTTATCATGGTTATGGTCCCTGGACTTAGAAAATTCACTCAAATAATCAGTTTTCCACACTTTTTTTCTTCATGCTTGAAGGTATTGATTTGATAATTGGTATATAGTTTTATCATGACAAGATACAGATCATGTTTGAATTTTGTTCTTAGGTCCGAGTACACAGTTATTTCGTAGTGCATTTCTTTTAGACAATAAATGGAAATAAAAAAAATCCCACCTGCTCTTTCTCAATTATATTTTTACAGTGTGTTGTACTACTTTTGGGACAAATTATATCAAAATCATAGAAAACTTCATCAGCTCTAACTCAAAATATGGATAATTTTATGTTAAGGGGGTCTTGAAATCTTTTGACAGCTTCCGAAATGCTAATTTTTAACCTTTTCCAGCTGGACCAAATCACTACTTTATTTAAAAATTCATGAATCAAATTTTTTTACAGTGTAATTTTATCCCCCTACTTGCTATTTGAGGCATAAAACATGAAGAAATAAATTTGGAAGGGGTATAAAAAAAATTGGCAAGTAACACACTGTCCACACTAGGGACTTTATTCATGGACAACGAAAATCAAAGGACGATAACTGTGTACTCGGACCTTCTGGTCTGATGATTTTGTGCAGAGTTATGGTCCTTGGACTTAGAAAATTCACCCAAATGATCAGTTTTGCGCACTATTTTTTATCATGCTTGAAAATATTGATTTGATAATTGGTATGTAGTTATATCATGACAAGTTACAGATCAAGTTCGAATTTTGTTCCGGTCTGATGATTTTGTGCACAGTTATTGTCCTTTTTTTCCTCATGCTTGGAGATATTGACTTGATATTTGTTATATAGTTTACACCATGACAAGTTATAGATCATGTTAGCATTTTGTTCCATTACAATGAATTTTTAACCGGTAGGGGGCTATGTATTTCCATGCAATACTCTCAGAATGCTTGTTCATTATTGCTTATGAGTAAGAGGCTATATGGTGTAAATGAATACAATATGAGACAGCAACCCAATGACACAAGCAACCAAAACACATCAACAGTCAACTTACAGTCTTCAACAATAGACAGGTTTCTATATAATACATTTGTGTGTCAAGCTCTAATTGTCCCAATTCTGGAAAAGAAGTCACTTGCCATTTTCTGCAGATTTAATCGCAAGTCATTCTAATTTGGCAAAAAATTATGTATCATTTGCCAATTTACCTTGCTTAGGGAATGATACCATGAAAGTTGACATCTTGCTATAATAACTGTAAAGTATGATTTGTGATAATGCTGTATATTTCTATTAATTTATCATCACAGGATTTTAGTTGGTGCACCGACATCGCAGGACAAGTTCCAGTCAAGTTTAAATCATCCTGGTGCCCTATTTAAATGTGATCCTTTCGGTACCTCTTCATCATGTGAACAAATAATGATAGGAAGAGGAGGTAAGTCAAACAAAGTGCTGTATTAGTTCTTCTAGCTTCCAAGATCTGGGTTAAAAAATAAAATTTCTTCCACATTCTTTTGCAACATCTATTATTAGTTTAATTAGAGTAAATTGTACAAGTAAGTTGATAAAAGTTGAAACAAATGAAGAACTGGATTCAATTTAATTGTTTATTTTTCCTATTGTTGCAACTATCTTTTAGTGACAGTTGGTTCAGCCGTTATTAAAATACAAAACTGAAACAATTACCCAAGAAAATAGATATTTCCTAGAAAAAAATGTCCTCGTGTTTATACCTTTGTACATGTAATATTAATGTACTCTAATAATATATACAAAAAGTAACTAAAACTTGACTTGTCATGCATAAGTGATATTTTTTTTGGGAGCGATTATAATTTGTGGTTACCAGTATCTTCATTATCTTCCTGTACAATAGGAATGTTTGGTATGTCATGTGTATATGTATCTTAACATAAAACTTTTAGGCATTTCATATTCTTACAAATACAAAATAACACTAAATGTAACTTCAATCTGACCCCTTCTAGGAATATTATATTAATAATCATTTCGATTAAAAGGTCAAGGAGATTAGGGCATTTTTCAATATGAAATGGCAACCAAACATTGTCACAAAAAATCATAAGACATGATTATGCCTGTAATATTAATATATGAATGTTAACCAACAACAGGTCAGTTGTTTTTCAATGGTCCATCCTTAGAAAGTAGTTGTTCTACTGTGTAAAGACCAGTCACATTCACTCCTCAATTAACTCAATGAAGCTGATAGGGACATATATTTACATAGAATAATGACATGTTTGTTCTAAATACTGACTATCAGTTAGAATATCAAACGAGCCAGCTGATATTGTAGGTAATGAAGTCTGTATAAAAAAATAAAATCTCTTTATTCTTTTATCAGCAGTTTGCCTTAGCAATATGTTTCTTGGGGTATACAGATTATCATGATTAGGAAATGACATGGAGTAGTTTAAAAACTTTTTTACAGAAACAAAATGTTGTGATAGTTGGTCGGTTGTATGATTTGATTTGATTTTTGGTGTTTTAACGCCACTTTTAAGCACTGCTTTTGGGCTATTTCGTGGCGGCCAGTTTTTATTGGTGGAGGAAGCCGGAGTGCCCGGAGAAAACCACTGACCTTCGATAGGAAAACTGACAATCCTAGTCAATTAAGATTGGAGTCGAGTGCACCCGCATGAGCGGGGTTCGAACTCACAACCTCAGTGTTGACTGACTAGTGATTACAGTAGTAACTACTTAGACCACTCGGCCACAGAGGCCCGATATTGATTTGATAATTAGTATATAGTTTTATCATGACAAGTTACAAATCAAGTTGGAATTTTGTTCCTGTCTGATGATTTTGTGAAGAGTTTTCAACAGTTTTTTTTGTCATGTTTGAAGATTTTGACTTGATGTTTTTATGTAGTTTACACCATGACAAGTTATAGATCAAGTTAGAATTTCATTCCATTACATTGAATTTTTAACCGGTACTAAGGGGACTATGTATTGCCATGCAATACTCACAGAATGCTTGGTTTTTATTAAAAAAAATTGATTCTGTACAATTGGAAGATACAAAGTGAAAAGTTTGACCTATCCATTAAAACATTTGTGTGAGAATGGCCACTAAATGCGAATAGAAATAATAATGTATAAATATTAGTTGAGTCAGGAAAAAAAGATTCCAGGTGTGTAAATATGACATAATATATAAAAAGAATGATAAATTTTAGACACATTCCTTAGGGAGGATATGTTTTATGTCATTGCGGTCAGATTTTTAATTGTTTCGTGAATAAGAAGTTAACAGTTTGTTGGTGGTTTTTAATTTAATTTTTGGAATATTTAGCATTCAGTGTGATACTGGTCAGTCTTGTTGATCAATATCTTTTTTATATGATCCTTGTAAAAAGGTGATATGAAAACTTATAATATAAAATGCATGATATTGATACATGAGGAACTTAGCAACCCATCTCACAAAGCAAACATGCAGAAGTGAAAAAGAGAGAAATGCAAAGGATATTTTTGTAAATTTAATTTTTAAAGGATTAACCTTATTGGTATACATTTTTGTGACCTGAGGTGAAATTGATTTATAATCCTTTTGTCATTTATCTGTCAAGTGGTAGGGATAGATTGTAATCTGATATATTTTTTATGCAGATATAGCAAAAACAGGCTCTATTAAACATATAGTATGTAAAGTCCTTCAAGAATTACATCACATGCACATGATATTTCCTTTTCTTAGGTTAAACCTTTTGTGAATACTATAAACTCTTGAAATCTTGCATTTATAAGAATATCAGTCACAAAGAGAGTAAACACATTATATATAGTCAGCTTTGATTTAAATAAAATCTTAAAAGGTAACCAGTTTAAACAGTTAAGGTTCAAATTAAATAATTATCTTGACATTTTTGAATTTTTTGATACATTGTATCTGTATTATTTCACTCTGAGAGTAATATTTACACAAAATATAGATGCACTGAGGCTTATATGTCAAAACTCTTACTAGAGGCAGATTTATAGAGGTCTTAGGGGAAGCCTTTTTAAAAGCTAGATCCACGACTTCACACAAAAGTATTAATACCATTTATTTTAAACCTATACATCATAAAAGTATGACCCCAAGTACTACTTAGTGTGAAAAATGTACTTTTAGAAAGATTATAATTCAGTTTTCCTTCCTGTTAATAGGAAAGTTATCAACAATTTTTAATTAGTGATGTGAAAAATTTGGTATGAAAATATTGTGTCATGATTGAATAAATAATAATTCAGTTATATATCATTACTCTAATGAAAAATATTGCATTCTTATTTACCTTTATCATGTTTACTGTCTGATTTTGATGAAAATTGAGAAATATTTTGCAATGTTATAGGTATTTAGCATTAAGAACAGTTTATGTGATACACAGTAAAGGTCCTTGACATTTAAACACTTAAGTAGAGGTATCAGACTGTTTAAGTGGTTAAATGTGAATCTATTCATGCTGAGAGATTTAGGTATAAATAATTCAATACTTATAAAGTTTTCTTGTAAGCCATAATTTCCAACTTTTACACCTGCTGAGCTAAGTATAGAGACAGACATATTTACAGTTGTTGACAGTAATATTTAGAAAAGTCAAAATTATGAACCTTCAGAGACTGACCACCTAGTAGTCTATATCCAGACAGCTAAATACTACTAACCCAATGATATAGTACATCCCTGATTAAAGGTACTTAGATATCAAATGACTTTTATTATATTATAAAGACGTTCAATACCTTATAAAAGAATAAAAGGATATGTGGAATAAATGTCAACTAGACCAGCTATACAAGTTTATTAAAGTAGACATATAGGGGTCAGCATTTTAAACAATGGACAAGAGATGAACACAATTCAAGACTAGAAAACTACTGAAATTATTGACAAAATTTTTCAAATTATTTGAATTGCAGTTGTAAAAATTTAATATTATAACAAGTAGATGAGTGGTACACATGTTTTTGTACTCAAAAGAGACAGAAACCAAACAACATGTAAAAAAATAAAAGTGTGAAATCTAGAGGTCAATATAAACCTTCACCAATAGACATTTCCATTATAAGTATGATGGGTGATATGGGATAAATGTCATGATGCAGTAAACCAACTATACATAATATGTGAGAAGTTATTGAACTAAACTTATTTTCTACCATGGTACTTAGACATTTTCATTTAAAAATTTGAGTTTCAAGGCAATTCAAGCCTGGATTATGTGAAAGAAGTGAATTAAGTCTGCAACCCTCATTAGATAAGTAAGTTTGTTTAAGTTATTTGAAGTTTAATGATATAAGTAAGGTTTGATAAATATGTGTGCATGTTCTTTTAAAGGAAATGTTGAAGACACAGATTATGCTCATGAGCAGATTTACCATGGAAAAGATAATGGATGGCTAGGTGCATCTCTTGCTGTTGGTGATGCTGTGTTGGTAGGTATACATCTCTGAGAGATTTGAAACTTTACAGTAATTAATATAACATAAAACAATTGATTATGTGATGATGCTGTAATGTTTGTTGTAGTTATTGTCTTAATACTTTTAAATCACTTGGCCAAAGGTCGTGTGATCTTTCACACTATCATTTATCATCCACTGACAATGGTTTGTGTGAGTAATCCTTCCATAACCTGTGACTATAGTCCTTTATGGACTTCATCTGTTGCTTCTTGTCCCTCCATCTTTCTGAACCTCTATTCCAGAACCACTGAAGCAAATCAAACCAAACTTAGCAGAAATATTCATATGAACAATTATATGAAAGTTTGATAATTGGGTATTGATCCAAGGCTTCCAAAACAGTCATATATTCCTGAAATAATAAATACTGATGACAGACTTGGTACTCGCAAATAAATATATTAAGGGATTAAACTAGTTTTTGTCGAGCCTGCGACTTTTGTCGCAGAAAGCTCGACATAGGGATAGCGATCCGGCGGCGGCGGCGGCGGCGTTAGCTAACTTCTTAAAAGCTTTATATTTTAGAAGATGGAAGACCTGGATGCTTCATACTTTGTATATGGATGCCTCATGTTACGAAGTTTCCGTCAGTCACATGTCCAATGTCCTTGACCTCATTTTCATGGTTCAGTGACTACTTGAAAAAAAAGTTCAGATTTTTTGTAATGTTAAATTCTCTCTTATTATAAGTAATAGGATAACTATATTTGGTATGTGCGTACCTTGCAAGGTCCTCATGCCCGTCAGACAGTTTTCACTTGACCTTGACCTCATTTCATGGATCAGTGAACAAGGTTAAGTTTTCGTGGTCAAGTCCATATCTCAGATACTATAAGCAATAGGTCTAGTATATTCGGTGTATGGAAGGACTGTAAGGTGTACATGTCCAACTGGCAGGTGTCATCTGACCTTGACCTCATTTTCATGGTTCAGTGGTTATAGTTAAGTTTTTGTGTTTTGGTCTGTTTTTCTTATACTGTATGCAATAGGTCTACTATATTAGGTGTATGGAATGATTGTAAGGTGTACATGTCTAGCTGGCAGGTGTCATCTGACCTTGACCTCATTTTCATGGTTCAGTGGTCAAAGTTAAGTTTTTGAGTTTTGGTCTTTTTTTCTAATACTGCATGCAATAGGTCAGCTATATTTGGTGTATGGAATGATTGTAAGGTGTACATGTCTAGCTGGCAGGTGTCATCTTACCTTGACCTCATTTTCATGGTTCAGTGGTCAAAGTTAAGTTTTTGAGTTTTGGTCTTTTTTTCTAATACTATATGCAATAGTTCAACTATATTTGGTGTATGGAAATATTTTATGATCTATATGTCAGTCACGCAGGTTTTATTTGACCTTGACCTCATTTTCAAGGTTCATTGCTCAGTGTTAAGTTTTTGTGTTTTCGTCTGTTTTTCTTAAACTATAAGCAATAGGTCAACTATATTTGTTGTATGGAAGAATTGTTAGCTGTACATGCCTGCCTAGCATGGTTCATCTGACCTTGACCTCATTTTCATGGTTCATTGGTCAATGTTTAGTTTACTTGGTTAATGTGAAGTTTATGTGACAGTTGTAATAAAGCTTTATATTTAGGACTATCAACATAATATCAATGATTAGTAAAGAAGGCGAGACATTTCAGGGTGTGCACTCTTGTTTAAGATCACAACCCTCTTCATTGATCATCTCAACCCTCTCCATTGATCATTGATGAGAAAATAAACCACTTAACAGTACTAGTAATGTAAACAAAACATATTCTAAAAATCAGTGAAGGAAATTCAGTGAACTTTATAATGATAATTTAATGGATAAAAAGTACAAACTAATAAACAGTATTAAAACAGTAAAAAAATGCACACTTTTAAAAAACAAGCTCCACTTACATCTTTATATCTTCTTAATATCAAAGTGCTTCTTATCCTGTTGAAATGAAATTATGCTGCCCACACTGTAATATTGGTGGATGTACTTTACTGTAGATCTTATACAGCAATGCTATATATAGACAGAAGAGAAAGACAAAATATTGCGCAATGCCAAGAAAAAAACGGTTTAGAATATCACTGTACAAAATGAAACATTTTTGTCTTGCTTCAAGCTATGAATTAGTGAATTTATGTTTATCAAAAAAATACCAACACAATGATTGTTGTTGTTTTACTAAATAAAAGTGATAGCGACTTTTATTCTATTTTTAGGTTTGTGCTCCAAGATGGCAAAATGACATTGAAAAGCTTGAAAACCAAACTCCATTGTCCCACATGAATGGTATTTGCTATGAAATCCCAAGAGTTTTGGACTCTTCCTTAGTAGACAAATATGCATTCTTGTCAAAAGATAAAGATCAAAGGACCCTAAATGAGTCACATTATTATTACCATTACATGAATGGCATGATGGGACTGTCCGTACGATATACTGGAGATGTAAGTAGATCAATGTCCATACGATATACGGGAGATGTAAGTTGCCATGATGTATAGATCAATGTCGGTTAAATATATGGGAGATGTAAGTTGCTATGATGTATAGATCAATGTCTGTACAATATACTGGAGATGTAAGTTGCCATGATGTATAGATCAATATCTGTACAATATATGGGAGATGTAAGTTGCTATGATGTATAGATCAATGTCTGTACAATATACTGGAGATGTAAATTGCCATGATGTATAGATCAATGTCCATGCAATATACTGTATATGTAAGTTGCCATGATGTATAGAACAATGTCTGTACAATATACTGGAGATGTTAGTTGCCATTATGTATAGATCAATATCTGAACAATATACGAGAGATGTAAGCTGTCATGATGTATAGATCAATGTCCGTACAATATACTGGAGATGTGAGTTGCCATGATGTATAGATCAATGTCCGTACAATATACTGAAGATGTAAGTTGCCATGATGTATAGATCAATATCTGTACAATATACTGGAGATGTAAGTTGCCATGATGTTTAGATCAATGTCTGTACAATATATTGGAGATGTAAGTTGCCATGATGTTTAGATCAATGTCTGTACAATATACTGGAGATGTAAGTTGCCACAATGTTTAGATCAATGTCTGTACAATATATAGGAGATGTAAGTTGCCATGATGTTTAGATCAATGTCTGTACAATATATTGGAGATGTAAGTTGCCATGATGTATAGATCAATGTCCATGCAATATACTGGAGATGTAAGTTGCCATGATGTATAGATCAATGTCCGTACAATATACTGGAGATGTAAGTTGCCATGATGTATAGATCAATATCTGAACAATATACGGGAGATGTAAGTTGTCATGATGTATAGATCAATGTCCATGCAATATACTGGAGATGTAAGTTGCCATGATATATAAATCAATGTTCGTACAATATACTGGAGATGTAAGTTGCCATGATGTATAGATCTATAGCTGTACAATATACTGGAGATGTAGGTTGCCATGATGTATAGATCTATATCTGTACAATATACTGGAGATATAAGTTGCCATGATGTATAGATCTATATCTGTACAATATACTGGAGATGTAAGTTGCCATTATGTATAGATCAATGTCTGTACAATATACTGGAGATGTAAGTTGCCATGATGTATAGATCAATGTCTGTACAATATATTGGAGATGTAAGTTGCCATGATGTTTAGATCAATGTCTGTACAATATATTGGAGATGTAAGTTGCCATGATGTATAGACCAATGTCCGTACAATATAAGGGAGCCTTTTGTTTTTAGAAATGTTGCTTAGTTGATACATTAAAAGTACTAAAGCAACTGATTTTTAAGGAAAATAAGAACTAATGAATATCAATAGGATAATGCACAAAACATGACAATCAATAAAAAGACTAAGAGTATTGCATTCCTAGTTAAAAGGTAATATGCACATTTAGACTATTGAAGTGAAAACTAAAGCCATCCAAAACTAAATTGCTTAAAAGGAGGAGGGATAATGGGTGGTTTATGAATATCCTTCTTGCAAATATCACTGGTATTGTAACAAACAAATTGGTCAAATAATGTTTCAGAATTAGAAAATTCAATTTATATCCAGATTTACATTCTACATATATGTTGTAATGGTCAAGCTACACATTATAGCTACTGTACAACTTCTGTTATTATTCCAGCATTGTGTGAGTATGTTCCAAGTAGATTCTATGAACAGAATTTTGCTCTGTCCAGAAAGTCACTGCCTAAAGCAGTTACTACTTCATTGTAGGTAGTCACTGTTAGTCCTATCTAGTACAGTCCATATCAATGGATTTTCACAGTTTTTGTGTCGCCTGCGACAAAAGTCTCAGTATTCGAGACATAGGTATTACTATCCAGGGGCGGGGGCGGCAGCGGTGTAAACTATTTGTATAAAGCTTTATATTTCAGAAGGTAGAAGACCTGGATGTGTCATACCTTGTATGCAGATACCTTATTTTACGAAGTTTTCATCTGTCATATGTCCATTGTCCTTGACCTCGTTTTCATGGTTCAGTGACTGCTTGAAAAAAAAAATCAGTTTTTTTGTCATGTGAATTTCTCACTTATAATGAGTAATAGGATAACTATATTTGGTATATGGGTTCCTTGCAACACCAACATGTCCATCAGGCAGGGTTCACCTGACCTCTACCTAATTTCATGGATCAGTGATCAAGGTTAAAGTTACGGGATTAGGTTAATTTCTCAGATACTATAAGCAGTAGGTCAACTATATGTGGTGTCTGAAATGATTGCAAGGGGTACATGTTAGTCTGGCAGGTTTCATCTCACCGTGACCTCATTTTCATGGTGCATTGGTCAATGTTAAGTTTTTTGTTTTGGTCTGTTTTTCAAGTACTATAAGTGATAAGTCAACTATATTTGGTATATGGAATGATTGTAAGGTGTACATGCCAGTCTAAACCAAATATATTTTTCATGTCTGTATACATATTCATATATAAATTGCCCAAAATTTGGGTTATATCTTTAGAGCAGTTCATTCAATTAAGTATATACTTGAAAATGAATCTTAAGATTTCGAGTCAGAAACTTGCCACCCCAAGTCTGGGTCAGTAATTTAAATATTTTCTGTAGGGACTGCACTCTGACTTCTCATGGCCCCAACAAGTCTGAAAAAAGACCACCAGACTTCAGAATAATCTCTGACTACTTGTTACAGTATTAATTTGGTTTTCACTAGGATAAAAGTCATTTGAAACTTAGCTGTAGTAAAAATTCTAAAGTTACTGACAGAGCAGACAAGGAGCAAGTTTCTTTAGAACTACAAGTGATTTGTAAAAAAAAATTGTATATCAATGCAAAAGAGAATATTTAACAATAAATCTTTTTAATTTTTTCTTTTCAGACAGATGAAACAATGCTTATTGGTGCTCCAGGCTTACGTGATGCATCAGGTATGTACATCATGACTGCAGACCACATCAGTTGTACATTTTTTGGGAAATAGAACCGCTGTTTTTTTATATTGATTTATTTTTGCCAGCCTACCATAGTAGAGGGGCATTATATTCTCTGGTCTCTGGTCTGTCTGTCTGTCTGTCTGTCCAATAGCAGGTTAAAGTGTTGGTCTATGGTAGGTTAAAGTTTGGTTCAGGTAAGTTGGTGTATGGTATAATTGAAAGGTATACATGTCTGTCTGTCTGTCTGTCTAACTGTTTGTCTGTCTTCTGTCTGTCTGTCTGTCTGTCTGTCTGTCTGTTCTGTGTCCCTGTCTGTCTGTCTGTCTGTCTGTCTGTCTGTCTGTCTGTCTGTCTGTCTGTCTGTCTGTCTGTCTGTCTGTCTGTCTGTCTGTCTGTCTGTCTGGACATGTCTGTCTGTCTGTCTGTCCAATAGCAGGTTAAAGTGTTGGTCTATGGTAGGTTAAAGTTTGGTTCAGGTAAGTTGGTGTATGGTATAATTGAAAGGTATACATGTCTGTCTGTCTGTCTGTCTAACTGTTTGTCTGTCTTCTGTCTGTCTGTCTGTCTGTCTGTCTGTCTGTTCTGTGTCCGTGTCTGTCTGTCTGTCTGTCTGTCTGGACATGTCTGTCTGTCCAATTTTAGGTTAAAGTGTTGGTCTATGGTAGGTTAAAGTTTGGTTCAGGTAAGTTGGTGTATGGTATAATTGAAAGGTGTACATGTCTGTCTGGCAGGGTTCACCTGAACTTGATCTCATTTACATTGATGATTGATAATGTTAATTTTATTTGAAACCTATTGTAAAACTTTCATATTACACACTTTCAGTATTAATTCAATTATGATAAGTAAAGCAGGTGAGACATTTCAGCATGTGCACTCTTGGGTATTGTTATTAGTTGTTAGTCTAGCTGATTAGGCAGAATGGGTTTTGCTCAATGTTGAAGGCGGTACAGTGACCTATAGTTGTTAATTTCTATGTTATTTGTGAGTTAATTTGCTCAGTTTACACATCAATAACCTCTAGAAAAAATGTGTTTAATTGAATATTATATTTTAACTTAGCTTGCATTGTATTGTGTGCACATATTATGATGACTTTGACATTTAAATATTTTCTTTTTCTTTCAGGTGGTATTGTTGAATTTGGGAACAATGTAGTAAAGATAGCATCAGAACCATACGACCAGGAGAGAAACAATGATTATTTTGGTGAGTACCGTTAGAAATATTTCAGTTATATTGAAACAGATATAATTCTTGCAGCTTTCTTACATACTCTTTTAGTATTAACTTTATAAGGTATATAAACATATGATGGGTTAAACTGACTGAACCTTTCATCTATTATATCAATCAGAAAAAAACTGCAAGCACAATACAGTCAGACCAGTAAAAAATATATAAAAATAAAAAGATGTGGTATCATTGCCAATAAGACAACTCTCTTCCAGAGACAAAATAACATAGAAGTTAAAACAACTATCACTATTACAGAATACCTAAACTAAATTTGTTGCATTCAAAGGTGGTTAAAAATCCAGAAATAAACATCTAAAATACAAAAAGTAAAGGCATAGATAAAAAATGTATTTTCCTTGTTAAACAAAACAAAGTCTCTAGTTAACATCCAGATAACAATGTGTAATTCAAGTATGAAAATTAATTCTCATTTTTACGAGTAAAACAAAATGAAGAGTTTAACATTTATGATAAAAGAGTTTTTCTTTAAAATGAAAATAACACTATATACATTTGAACCTTCCTGGATTAGTCTTCATCAGGAATCCTCAAGCACATCTGGATTAGTCTTCATCAGAAATGCTCAAGCACATCTGGATTAGTCTTCATCAGGAATCCTCAAGCACATCTGGATTTGTCTTCATCAGGAATGCTCAAGCACATCTGGATTTGTCTTCATCAGGAATCCTCAAGCACAAAAATCTGAAACCAAAGGATGTATAACTGCTTGAAAAATAAAGTAGCAACTCAGTAGCTTTGTGACAACAGGAATCTAAAAAGAATAGCCAAAACCACATCAAGTCAATTTTTCTTAAGAGAGTAATTAATTATGTTACATCTATTTCCAGGGTATGCTTTAACATCAGGGAAGTTTTTGGGAGATGGTGCTAATTATATTGCTTTAGGTGGTCCACGAGGTAATAGTGGAACAGGACAGGTAGGAATAACTTTCACTTGAATTCACTTAGGCTGGTGTAGAATGTAAATGTAGGTGTAGATGATGATTTTAAACATTTTTGTATCTGTTATGCTCATTTTAATGATTCTGTAATTGTGTTTTTTTTTCTCATGGTAAAATACCAACACTTTGTGTGAAAATTATATTGTCTTGTGTGAGTCTAATTAAATGATTATGACTCTTTTCCTTAGTGTATGTCATTATCTACCTTATAAATTACATAGATCTGTTCAGAAGTCCATTTCTAGTAATCAGCTTCTCATCTTATTTATACTTCAAGTATTTTTTGCCCTTTGGATTTGCAAATGGGCAGACCTTTCTTGAATATTACAAAGATCTTATTCATACATTGATTTATTGTTGTCCTTGACCAAAGGGTACGTCATTAACGGTTTTACAAGATGACATTGATATAATTTATTCTTCAGATAATTGTTACCCCGACCTTAACACCAATTCTTGTCTTGAAGATCAATGTTACAGCTCGTTCATGTGCTGAAATTAATTCTGGTCCATAATTTTGCACTTGGTGCTTTGATCCATGTCATACTTCAAGTAATGTTTACCTATGAACCAAAGATATGTAGACTTTAACACAAAGTTATTGAAGGTCAAGGTCAACATATATCTTACATGTATTCAAAAAATGTCTAGCCTATATGTTTTAAATGCCTGCTTGGATCCATGTCAAGATATAAACAATGTGTGTATATGATTCAATAGGGGGAAAGTTACATTCAATAAATATATATACAATATTTGGTCAATGTCAGAAAAATATCAACTTTTTGTATGAGGCTTATAAACTGAGGGAGGGCAAGAATAACCAAGCCCTTCAACAGTTTTGGGGTGAATACAAAAAAAAATATATTTTGCTGACAATGACCTGTTATTGTTTTTATACTGCAGCTAAAATTTGTTACAACTATATGTATGAAATTGATAAACCAAAGATTAAAACTTATTTTCCATCCCTAAACGAAATCTAGATTGTATAGAAAAGTGACCCAACATGAAATCTACATAGCATAAAATATCCTGTTGTTACTATGCTTGGTAGATTAAGTCAACAGGAAGTGTTCTAGCTGCAGTATAGGTTATAATAGAAATCATTACATATTTTCATTATGTCTTCTTGGAATCAAATAACACAGTTGTTATCCATGACCCTTAATTGAAGGTCAAGGTTACAGCAAGTGAATTGTGTCCGAGCTGATTCAGTTTATACTTAATAAGAAACAACACATGGTCCAGATGTCCTACACATGGTCCAGATGTCCTACACATGGTCCAGATGTTCTACACATGGTCCAGATGTCCTAACTTGGTATATTGGGTTTAAACCGAGTCAGTTTCACAAAAATACTTACGACTAAGATTGATCGTAAGTCATGAACAATTCAGTATACTTACGATCAATCTTAGTCGTAAGTTTTTTTGTGAAACCGACTACTGGACCATATAATGTAAAAGTAAGCCAGACAATAAAAAATCTGCAAAGTCCTGAGCTACCAACTGGATGACCACTAACTTGGACAAGGAAATAAAAGATGGATCATTAATATTTGTGTATGTCATCTAAATGCATTTACAAGAATTGTTTTTGGATATTTCAGGTAAAGATTGTGAAGTTGGTAAATTCATCACACTATGAAGTGCAAGCTATAGTCAATGGAGAAGAGGTAGTAAATTCAGACATATAAAATAATATGTAATCTCTTATAATAAACATTTGTTTGTCTAATATTTGTATTAAATGGAGATAAATGGCTAAAATCATCATAAATCAGTTTTGATCTCACTGTAATTTTTTGTTACAAAAGATACCTACTAGTGTATTTTTGCAAAAACATTTGGAATAACTTCTTAACATAAGTATGCTCTAACTTTGTGTAACAATTCTTTGGAAATAATTCATTTTAATTAAATTAAAAAAAAAAAAAAACAAGGGTTTTTTGCTATGTTTTTATTGAATTTAAAAAAAAATTCATTGGTGTCAGATTTGTACATAATTGAGCCAAATGCCATTTGAAAAAAGAAGGGTCCATGTATTGGGTTTTCAAGCTAATGATTAAAATCAGTTTAAAAAGTAATCTTTTCCCAATATGTCACAGTTTGATGTCCCAAAAAATAATGTTTTATGTTAGCAACCTCATTACCTCGCCTGTAATTGTTTTGTATGCACTTAATGGTAAAAACATTCTCAGATAAACAAGGCTCAAGACAAAAGACGTTTTGTTCCAATACTACTAGTTAAGCAATAGCTAACAATAAAAAAAATTGATTTTCACATGGATGTTTATTTTATTAAGAGTATTATATATTGATATGTATAATAGAAGCTTTGCTGTAGCCATTTTTCATGCTTTTGTTGATGTTGCAAAAATTAAAAAAATTAGTCCAAAAAAAGATTCTTTACAGATACATGCTAGTTTTTTTTTTTTTACAGTTTGTCTCATACTTATGTACAATTGTATAATTCTTGAAAATACTTTACAGCCAGGAAGTTATTTTGGGAGTGTGCTTTGTGCTGTTGATGTAGGTAATACAAACAGAGATGTCCTGGTTGTTGGAGCACCATTTTATGGTAACCTTTCACAAATCAATATTGACGTAAATAATATCAACGAGGATGAAGGAAAAGTTTATGTGTATGGTTATGATAGTTCATCTGTAAGTTATGATACATATATACCTACACATAGATACTGTACAGTATAAGGTGCATGTCACACATGAAGCCTTTTAAGATAGAAAGCTGCTTTATGTTATGATAGTAGTTGAAAATATTAGAAATATCTATATTAGGAAAAACTGATTGATCAAATTGTATTTAACTTTTCATGATTTGAACAATAGCTTTTCTTTTGTTTTACAAACTGTTTTAATATTTGATAAGTATTGGTTGATGTTAATATAGAAATAAGATGTGGTTAATTGCCAATGAGATAATATTCCACCAGAGACCCATTGACGTAGAAGTAAGCAACTATAGGTCACTGCATGGCCTTCAACAATGACGAAACCCATACTGCATAGTCAGCTATTAAAGGTCCCGAAATGACAAATGTAAAACGATTCATATAATAAAACTAACAGCCTGATTTGTGTACAAAACAATGAACAAAAAATAAATATGATTTACAGCAACAAATGACAACCTAAGTCTGGGTGAACCTTATTAAACTGTGAAGAAACAGGTATAAATTAACCATATTCCTGTTGATTTTTCTAGTGGGGAGGGTTAGTGGGCCTGGGTCCCCCCTTATGGAGCTATATATTTGGTAAACACATAGACTTTTTATGTATATTGGTATGACGTTGGCGTCGTCGTTGTATATTGGTATGACGTAGGCGGCGTAGTCGTCGTCCGAAGACACATTAGTTTTCGCACTCTAACTTTAGTTTAAGTGAATGGATCTCAATGAAATTTTACCATAAGGTTCAATACCACAAAAGGAAGGTGGGGATTGATTTTGGGGGTTATGGTACAGTTAAGGAATTAGGGGCCAAAAAGGGGCCAAAAATAAGCATTTTTGTAACTTCCAAACATAACTTGTGTGTAAGTGTATGGATCTCTCTGACATTGTACCATAAGGTTCCATATCACAAAGGGAATGCTGGAATTGATTTTTGGGTTAATTGCCTTCAAATTTTAGGAATTAGGGGCCAAAAAGGGGCAAAAAACAAGCATTTTTCTAGTTTCATGACAAAAACTTGTGTGTAAGTGTATGGATCTCTCTGACATTGTATCAATAAGGGAATGCTGGGATTGATTTTGGGGTTAATTGTCTCCAAATTTTAGGAATTAGGGGCCAAAAAGGGGCAAAAAACAAGCATTTTTCTAGTTTCATGACAATAACCTGTGTGTTAGTGTATGGATCTTTATGAAATTGTACTACAAGGTTCCATATCACAAAGGGAAAGCTGGAATTGAGTTTGGGGGTAATTGCCCAAAAAGTTTAGGGATAAGGGGCCAAAAATAAGCATTTTTCTAGTTTCCAGACAATAACTTGTGTTCAAATGTATGGATCTCTCTGAAATTATACTGCAAGGTACCATACCACAAAGGGAAGGCTGGGATTGATTTTGGGGGTAATTCCCTCAAAATTTTAGTAATTAGGGGCCATAAAAGGGCAAAAAAACAAGCATTTTTCTAGTTTCAGGACAATAACTTGTGTGTAAGTGTATGGATCTTTATGAAATTTTACTGCAAGGTTCCATATCACAAAGGGAAAGCTGGGTTTGAGTTTGGGGGAATTGCCCTAAATGTTTAGGAATTTGGGGCCAAAAAGGGGCCAAAAAACAAGCATTTTTCTAGTTTCCAGACAATAACTTGTGTTCAAGTGTATGGATCTCTCTGAAATTGTACTGCAAGGTACCATACCACAAAGGAAAAGCTGGGATTGAGTTTGGGGGTGATGAATCATAAGGGGGTTAAAAAAATTGGGGGGGGGGATTTTTTTTTCCTTTTTTTTCTTTAAAATTTTCCATTTTAAATTGGTTATTTCTGATTTATATATAAAAGCAAATAATAATGATATGGTTTGAATAGGTAAATTAAAAATTTTTAAGTTCTTAGACCACTTTCATTCTGTGTGAGAAACCTATGCTGTGTCAAATATTTAATTACAATCCAAATTCAGTGCTGTATCAAGCTTGAATGTTGTGACCATACTTGCCCCAACTGTTCAGGGTTCGACCTCTGCGGTCGTATCAAGCTGCGCCCGAGCGGAGCATTTAATTAAAACATGTCAAACTCCTAATATTGCCTAGTTTGCTTCTTCACTGGCCAAGTGGTCTAAGTAGTCGAACTACTGTATCACTAGCCTGTCAACACTAAGGTTGTGAGGTCAAAACCCACACATGGCATGTCGTAATTGACTAGGATTGTCAGTTTCCTACTGATGGTTAGTGGTCCTCTTTGAGCACTACGGCTTCCTCAACCTATAAAAACTGACTGCCACGAAATAGCACAATATTGTTGAAAGTGGCGTTAAACACCAATCAATCAATCAATCAATCAATCAAAATAAATCATAAGATGTACTGACTGTTCATATATCAAAAGAATATCAGGAATTTCTATAAATATTAATAGTGGACAGTACAACAAATCACAGTGACCATATGCATCAACAATTGACTCTTGCAAAAAATAAAATAAGAAAAAATACAAACAAAACGAAGTACAGTTATTCAATGTGTTGGGGCGACCATATGTCATAAAGTAAATCACACAATGTGTTGGGGCGACCATATGTCATAAAGTAAATCACACAATGTGGTGGGGCGACCATATGTCATAAAGTAAATCAAACAATGTGGTGGGGCGACCATATGTCATAAAGTAAATCACACAATGTGTTGGGGCGACCATATGTCATAAAGTAAATCACACAATGTATTGGGGCGACCATATGTCATAAAGTAAATCACACAATGTGGTGGGGCGACCATATGTCATAAAATAAATCACACAATGTGTTGGGGCGACCATATGTCATAAAGTAAATCACACAATGTGTTGGGGCGACCATATGTCATAAAGTAAATCACACAATGTATTGGGGCGACCATATGTCATAAAGTAAATCACACAAATTGGTGGGGCGACCATATGTCATAAAGTAAATCACACAATGTGGTGGGGCGACCATATGTCATAAAATAAATCACACAATGATAAACATGCACAGTCCAACTACCAACAGAATAACCACTTGTACAACGAAAAAAAGGACAGCATATAATTCAGAAAGTAAGTATATTCTCTTTAAGATTGCTTGTCCTTCATGTAAATTGTTGGGGAGCAAGTAGTTAAATCTATATTCCATTGGCTCTATTTGCAGACTATGTTTAAAGAATTGCAACAGCTGAGTGGATCCAACACTAAGAATTCTAGATTTGGTTCAGCCATTTGTAGTCCAGGAGATATCAACAATGACGGGGCTTTAGGTAAATAACTTATATAATGAGTAGGTATTACAAATCTATATTAATATGTATAAATTTATAAATGTTATGTTATCTGAAATAGGTAGGAATATAACATTGTCTAAGAATTAAAATAATATTTAACAATCTTTTATCCATATATAGCATTGTAATAGTTCTATCCCTTCATGTATGCATTTACATTAGGATTGTTCCTAAGGAACAATAAGAGCTAGCTATTTTAAAAGATCTCATGTCCATAAATCAATGCCAGTACTTCATTTTGTAAGCTTAAATTTCACTAAAAAGTTTAACTATGTATAAAATGATAAAATTAGAAATGATGATTTATCCAAATAGATTTTCCAGAAAAAGAGGTCAATCCTGAGCAAAGAGAACAATTTTTATATTTACTGGATAACTCTGCAATGGAATTCTGTTATAAATGTGGACAGGGGAGTGTGTCATTCATATGTTGTAATTGTGGAATTTTTATATTGTGCAAAAATAAATACCCCACGTAACTGTTTTGCTCAAATCAACAATAATGATGTGAAGGTTTAATTTTACATTTAAAAGATTTATGCATTGAAGTTGTGAAAATATCCATATTTACAGTACTGTGGATTTATTTATTTTTGAGGATATTTGATTTAGTGGTTTTAAGTCTTCATATAAACCTATTTAAAATGTGTACTTTGTTGAACATTTAAATTCATGGTTCACATATACTCACAAAATCCACGTAAATTGGTTTCCCACAAATAATAGTTTATCCACAGTATTATGATGCTTTTGCTGTTTTAATACACATAAAATTCCGAACTGGTTTTTGAACTCCATAGGTGATTTTGATAGGTAGATTGATGGAATAGCTTCGATCTCAATGTATAACTTTATTTACTGTGATTTTGATAGGTAGATTGATGGACTAGCTTCGATCTCAATGTATAACTTTATTTACTGTGATTTTGATAGGTAGATTGATGGACTAGCTTCGATCTCAATGTATAACTTTATTTACTGTGATTTTGATAGGTAGATTGATGGACTAGCTTCGATCTCAATGTATAACTTTATTTACTCTGTTGTATATTAGCATTGATTTTTTTAGATCCTGGTATTGGAGCCTAATATGAGCTTTTGACTATGATATTTTTTATGTTTTAGTTACTGGTATAGGAATTCAAATGAACATTTGACTATTACTGTATAGCGTGTTTTTTTCGCGGGTGTAAAATTTTGCGATTTAGGGACTACAAAGTATACGAAAAATTTTGGCGATTTTTATTTTGGTGGATTCTTAATTCCCAACTAAATATCTTGGCGGACACTAAAAAGAGTTAAAAAGTTGTAAAAATTGACAGGAAGAAACAATGAAACATATCTTAGCTTTAGTTCAGTACAAATATAAGAAATAATTAATAGTAAATAGTAAAGAGAATTATATATGGATAAGGAAAAACAATATTTGAGGTAAAACACATGTTTTGAATTGTCAAATATTTACAAAAGTCTCAAATTTACTTGTCTCGTGACATTTTTGCTAGCGGAACTTCGTCTTTAAGATAATCATCCAAGTGTCCATTGTTATGGTTAAATGATTTTTTTTACCTGAATGACATCTTATTTGTTGATTATAATCTGATACAATTAATCAAAAGAATACTGTTAACTTCTAGATATTTGTCACAGGTGTACAAACTTCTTGTAAAAGTAACGGTTGATTAGTTAAAAAATTTGCTGAACCTTTGATGTACTAATTAGGTTATAAAATTAGCAATAGTGACTTGCAACCCTTACATAATTTGTCGCTAATTAATAAGGGTAAAATACTAAGTAATTACACTCTTATATTATTTGAGACTAAAGGACCTGCCAACCAGAACAAATAAATCGTTCACAAAAGGCTTCAGCTATTAGAAAGTACTGAACGTATGCATAAATTTTCGGTGAAGGTGAATTTATTTTCACAATTTTTATTCATCTGCCAAAATAAGTGAAAATAACCTGCTATACGATATATCTGTTTACTTTTATAGACATTGCCATAGGAGCTCCATTCGAAGAGGATGGGAAAGGTGCTATATATGTCTTTAATGGTTATGAAGGGAAATTTTGGCATCGACCATCACAGATAATAAAGGCTAGTTCAATTGGCAGCAACCTGAAACAGTTTGGAATGTATTTGTCGCAATTTAAAATGGATGTGGATAATAACTTATACAATGGTTAGTCAAGAAACCTGCACAATATATATCCATAGATTAACTGTGTCTTGTGTCGAAACAATTTTAAAAGGACGAAGACATAATTTTGTTGCAAAGGAATAATATTTATATTATCTAAATTTTTATTAATACATTTGAATCGTTACGTTACTCCAACTTTTTAAGCCAAACCAGATACAAACCAGATACAATGTACAACAAAAGTCTTGGAAATTCTGAATTCATCCATTAAATGCTTAGAGTGAAACGTCATATAAAAATGAGGATATGTGGTATGATTTCCAATGAGACAACTATTGACCAGAGTATAAATGTGGAAGTTAGCAATTATAGGCCACCGTATGGCTGTCAACAATGAGCAAAACTCAAACTGTATAGTCGGCTATAAAAGGCCTTGACATGAAAAATGTGAAACCATTCAAATAATAATACTAACAGCCAAATTTATAACAGACCAATTTATGAAAACAAATATGAACAACATGAACAAACTACAACCACTGTACTACAGGCACATGTAGAATGTGGCGGGGTGAAACATGCTTGTAAGCACTCAACCCTCCCATAACCAGGGACAGTGGTGTAACAGCACAACATAAGAACAAACTTTAACATCAGTTGGATTTGGCTTAACTCAAAAGATTGGTACAAGACATAAAAAAATAGATGCAAAGCACTGAAATAAGAGATCAGTTACTGAAAGCTATTTCAAAGCCAATTACAACTAATAGATAAATCCTGTTCTGCCAGACTAAAGTATCAATCAGAGCACATCCAATGGATTTAGTGTAAAGACGTCATACACAGTCATGTTTTTAAATGATTTCAACTTTGTTTCGACTTAAATTTCAATAGTGCAGTACAAATTTCCTGTTCATTAGTTATATTTTCATGCAGAGATCATGCAGAAAGACTTTGAATATAGGTGATATGTTATGTTTTATATTTTTAAAAAGTATGTTATGTTTTTAGCTCATCGGGGCCCGAAGGGCCCCATGTGAGCTTATGCCATCACTTGGCGTCCGTCGTCGTCTGTCGTCGTCGTCATAAACTATTTCAAAAATCTTCTCCTCTGAAACTACTGTGCCAAATACCTTTCCTTAGGGTATCTAGTTTATAAATTGTATCCGAAGTTTTGATCCATCGACAAACATGGCCGCCATGGCTAAAAATAGAACATAGGGGTCAAATGCAGTTTTTGGCTTATATCTCAAAAACTCAAGATCTATCAGCTATGAAATTTTTATACAAATCGAACAACCCATTGTTGGGTTGCTGCCATTGAATTGGTAGTTTTAACAAAATTTTGCAGTTTTTTGTTATTATTTTGAATATTATTATAGATATATATAAACTGTAAGCAGCAATAATGTTCAGCAAAGTAAGATCTACAAAAAAGTTTATATGACCATAATTGTCAATTGACCCCTTAAGGAGTTATTGCCCTTTACAGACATTTTACACAATTTGTTCATCAAGTTTGCTAACATTTAAAAATCTTCTCCTCTGAAATACTGGTGAGCGATTCAGGCTCTTGAGAGCCTCTTGTTTATATTTAAGTGTGTTATGTTTTAAATTTAAGTATGTTGTGTTTTATATTTAAGATCTGGTTATTGGAGCTCCTGGATCTGGTAGTGTTGTCATGTTAAAATCTAATCCCACTATATCTATGGAAGTAAGTCTCAAAACTAGTCTTGTTAATCCAGTTAATGTCATACAAGATGATGATGAGAGGTTTGCCATCCAAGTCTGTTTCAAATATACAGGAGATAAAAATTCACCACCAGATGTCAGTAAGTTTGTAACTGTCTATCTTCATTATTATGACATTGTCCATCTTTTTGTTGTTGACACATACAATCTTGTACTTATATATGGACACACTCATTTTTCAACAGTATTGACACATACAGTCTGGTACTTATATATGAAAATACACTTTTGTCAATAGCATTGACGCAAACAAACTGGTAGTTATATATGGACATACACTTTTGTCAATAGTATTGACGCATACAAACCGGTAGTTATATATGGACCTACACTTTTTTCAATGCTCTTTTGTCAATAGCATTGACACATACAAACTGGTAGTTATATATGGACATACACTTTTGTCAATAGCATTGAAGCATACAAACCGGTACTTATATATGGACATACACTTTTGTCAATAGCATTGACGCATACAAACTGGTACTGATATATGGTCATACACTTTTGTCAATAGTATTGACGCATACAAACTGGTACTGATATATGGACATACACTTTTGTCAAAAGCATTGACACATACAAACTGGTACTGATATATGGACATACACTTTTGTCAATAGCATTGACGCAAACAAACTGGTAGTTATATATGGACATCAATTTGTCAATAGCATTGACACATACAAACCGGTAGTTATATATGGACATACACTTTTGTCAATAGCATTGACGCATACAAACCGGTAGTTATATATGGACATACACTTTTGTCAATAGCATTGACACAAACAAACCGGTAGTTATATATGGACATACACTTTTGTCAATAGCATTGACACATACAAACTGGTACTGATATATGGACATACACTTTTGTCAATAGCATTGATGCATACAAACTGGTAGTTATATATGGACATACACTTTTGTCAATAGCATTGACACTTACAAACCGGTAGTTAATATGGACATACACTTTTGTCAATGGCATTGACGCATACAAACCGGTAGTTATATATGGACATACACTTTTGTCAATAGCATTGACACATACAAACTGGTAGTTATATATGGACATACACTTTTGTCAATAGCATTGACACATTCAAACTGGTACTTATATATGGACAAACACATTTGTCAATAGCATTGACACATACAAACTGGTAGTTATATATGGGCATACACTTTTGTCAATAGCATTGACGCATACAAATCGGTACTTATATATGGACATACACTTTTGTCAAAAGCATTGACACATTCAAACTGGTACTAATATACGGACATACACTTTTGTCGATAGCATTGACACATACAAACTGGTACTTAAATATGGACATACACTTTTGTCGATAGCATTGACACATACAAACTGGTACTGATATATGGACATACACTTTTGTCGATAGCATTGACACATTCAAACCGCTAGTTATATATGGACATACACTTTTGTCAATAGCATTGACACATACAAACTGGTACTTATATATGGACATACACTTTTGTCGATAGCATTGACACATATAACTGGTACTGATATATGGACATACACTTTTGTCAATAGCATTGACACATTCAAACTGGTACTTATATATGGACAAACACATTTGTCAATAGCATTGACACATACAAACTGGTAGTTATATATGGACATACACTTTTGTCAATAGCATTGACACATTCAAACTGGTACTTATATATGGACAAACACATTTGTCAATAGCATTGACACATACAAACTGGTAGTTATATATGGGCATACACTTTTGTCAATAGCATTGACGCATACAAATCGGTACTTATATATGGACATACACTTTTGTCAAAAGCATTGACACATTCAAACTGGTACTAATATACGGACATACACTTTTGTCGATAGCATTGACACATACAAACTGGTACTTAAATATGGACATACACTTTTGTCGATAGCATTGACACATACAAACTGGTACTGATATATGGACATACACTTTTGTCGATAGCATTGACACATTCAAACCGCTAGTTATATATGGACATACACTTTTGTCAATAGCATTGACACATACAAACTGGTACTTATATATGGACATACACGTTTGTCGATAGCATTGACACATATAAACTGGTACTGATATATGGACATACACTTTTGTCAATAGCATTGACACATACAATCTGGTACTTTTATATTTTTTTATAAATTTTTCTGCATTATTTTCAGTTTTAATTTTTAAGTGTAATTGCATTTAAGCTCAGCAATATTTATGAATATTTAATATTTGATTCTCCATTTATTTTTACAGTTGTGAACTACACTGTTTTTATTGATAATAGTATGACTCAACAAGGAATACAAGAAAGGATTCTAGCAGAAGATGGGAGTTACACTGTGGCAGGAGACAAGAAGGTCATCAGAGGCTATGAAATACCACAATGTTCTACTAATTATACAGTTGTAGTACAGGTAATATCAATGTATTAAAAATCACTTTATACATTCTAATATTATATTGTTTTATTATCAAGTCAGTTTCTAGCCCCTTTGTGAATTTGCTTAAGTTAGTCTTGACTCTGTAAGATCGTAAACTGTTGTCCTTTTGTGTGTCTATCCATTTGATCATCTATCTGTCTTTGCATATCTTACTGTAACTCCAGAATGCATTCCAAACTTTACCACAATGTAAGACTAGCTGCATTTCAATATGGAAGATTTTAATCCTCCATGTAACCCGTTGCGGGGGACATGGAAATACCGGGCCTCCGTCCAGTCTTGTTAGCGCACATGTACAATTCTTGCCAGATTTTTATGAAAGTTAGGTTTATATCAGCAATTTCTTGGACGAGTTCGAAAATCAATGTCGGTCAAGTATTTTTAAAAGAGTTGTGCCCCTTGGACACATTAATTTTATGGAAAGTTGCAACGTTAGCGCTCTCATGTGTTCAATTCTTGCCAGAATTTTATGAAACTTATATCATACGTTTATATCAGCAATGTCTTAACAAGTTCAAAAATCAGTGCTTATCAATTAATTTTAAAAGAGTTATGCCCCTTGGAAACATTAATTTTATGGAAAATTGCATCGTTAGTGCTCTCCTGTGTTCAATTCTTGCCAGATTTTTATGAAACATATATCATAGGTTCATATTAGCAATGTCTTGGACGAAATGGAAAATCAGTGTCGATCAATCGTTTTTAAAAGAGTTATGCCCCTTGGAAATATTAAAATTATATGGAAAATTGCCTTATGAGCACTCTAATGTGTACAATTCTTGCCAGAGTTTTATGAAATTTATGTTATAGGTTTATATCATCAATGTACTTGAAGAGTTCAAAAATCAGTGTTGATCAATTATTTTTAAAAGAGTTATGCCTTTGAAAATATTGATTATATGGAAAATTGCAATGTTATTGCTTTCATGTGTTCAATTCTTATCAGAATTTTATGAAACTTATTTCATAGGTTTATATCAGCAATGTCTTTGACACTTTCGAAAATAAGTTCTGATAAAATATTTTTAACGAGTTATGGTCCTTAGAAATATAGATTATAATAGAAATCACATTCATTTGCTCTGAAGCCTTCATTTCTCTTATGATATTAATAAAAAGTTTTAAAGAACAAAAAAAAGTGCTTTTTTAGTTATTGCCCTTGTACTTTAGATAGATAAAATATGTGCAACGCAGGGGACATAGGAACTCTGTTCTTTTATCAGATTAGTAATTCCATTGTTATGAGACTAAAACATCAAAGACTAGGCATTTATTCATATATCTGGTGCTGGGATTGGTAAAGTAAGTTAATTTTCTATTTCAAAAATTCCTGAGTTGTCTTTTCAGAATTACGGAATGTAAACAGTCAGATATGAGGCAATTTTTCACATATAGCACACTAGCTTGAGATTGCTTTCATTCATTTACTTCAAAGTTTACCCTGATTTTTGGATTTGCTATTCCAGAGTTATGGGACTGTTTTCCCATGCAATTTCATTATGGATGCAAATAGAATATCTTGCACTTCTTGTATAGCTGTTTATTCATTTATATTGGAATTTCAGGGCTTGATCAATTTCTTTTTATGTCCCTGCTATGGCGGCGGAGCATTAAGGGTTACCCTTGCCCTTCCATATATACATACATCCAAAAATAGGTTTCCATTCCCCAACTTTAGTTTGCCTTGACCAAATATTATGAAACTTATAAACAATGCTTATTACTACCAAAAGCAGGTCAAGTTTGAAATTGGGTTGTGTCACTTTTACCATTCTTGAGTTATGTCCCTTTATAAATGGAAAAAATGCTGAATTGGCAGTTTCCCCACTCTTACTTTACTTTACTACAACCAAATGTTCTGAAACATACATGAATTTTGGTGGCATCACTTTCACCATTCATGAGTTATGTCCCTTTATAAATGGAAAAATAAGCGAATTTACCATTCCGCATTCTAACTTTAATTTGCCCCAACCAAATGTTATGAAACTTGTACACAATGCTTTTTACCACCAAACACAGATCGAGTTCAAATGAGGGTTGCCTCACTTTCACCTTTCTCCAGTTACCCCATTTCTATATGTTATTGAAGAATGAGAGCACTCAATCCATCGAGCAATATGTAATAACAGCATACAGAAAAAAAACCCATTAAGTTTCAAAGAAAACATAACGTCAGTATGTTTTAATTAGTACATTGAGTCTTGCATATTTAAAAGTGGAGGCATCTGTGTCCCATGGACACATATATTATATTTTTTAACAAATAAAACTTGTTATTGTGCAGAATGTTTTTAGTTAAAATTGACATTTAATGTTTGTTACTTTTAGAAATATAGAGTAAAAGATATCGTGACCCCAGTGACCTTTGTTGTTAAATATGCCATTAAGCACCAATCAGGAACAGGTTTGAATTGTTCTATAAGTCCCTGTCCAGTTATCAGTGCGTTTGATGCCAAGAGGCAAGTTCCTGATGCAGATTTCTTCACAGAAAAGGTAGGAGATTTTACCTGTGAAGGTAACATAGTGTACTTATTTATGTCATATTTGGTTTGAATGTTAAAATTGTGCAATCAAATGATAAGATGATTAACAGAAAATAAATAAATAACAGTTTTGTGAAAAATAATTTCAATATATTTCTATTGAGAATTTAGCATACCATTTTCTTGCTTTTTGTCGAGCCTTCGACTTTTGTCGAAAAAGCGAGACATAGCGATCCTACATTTCGTCGTCGTTGTTGTCGTCGTCGCCTGCGTCCACAAATATTCACTCTGTTGTTAAAGTTTTTGAAATTTTAATAACTTTCTTAAACTATCCTCGTTTTCTACCAAACTTGGACAGAAGCTTGTTTATGATCATAAGATAATATTCAAAAGTAAATTTTGTAAAAAAAAAATTCCATTTTTTCCGTATTTTACTTATAAATGGACTCAGTTTTTCTTCCAGTTAACATTACATACAGTCTGCAGTTTAAGTTTTTAAAACATTTATTAGATTCATAAACTATCCTGGATTTTTACCAAACTTGAACAGAAGCTACTTACAATCAAAAGATAGTATATAGAGGAATATTTGTATTAATTTTTTTCCTCATTTTTACTGAGCCTGCAATTAACAGCAAAAGTAGGCGAGACACTGGGTTCCGCGGAACTCTTACGAATTTTTTCAAATATTAAGGTAGTCTCAAAATGTGGAGGAAGAAGAACTTTATATGTTGTCAAGTTGTACCCTTATAACTTTGTAAAATAATTATTCACTGCTGATAAATCATCATGCTTTCTTGTTGTCCTAACCTCTTTTTACACATAACTCTAATAAATGACCATGAAAACTCCCCAAAAATAAACTTATTTGCATGTTGATTTTATAGATATATCTGCATTTTTGCTAATATTTAAATACCTTGAAAAGCTGTGTTGATAATATGTATTTGAAGGCTTAGTATTTAGCTTCTTACGAAGGTGATATTATGGAAGTAAGGACACATGTCTTCACATGTAGATACATATATTTTGTTAAATAATATTGCTGAATATGTTTTTTTGAAAATTTTAATGTTTCAGAGGATTGAAACTACATTTCTTTTAAAAAGCATAGTAAGTTTGAATGCATGATAGGGAAATATATGGAGCATTGGGGACATGAAAAAAACTTACAAAAGTAACAATGTATAACCTGATAAAACATATATGAGACTTAACTATTTGAAACAGAAAAAAAATGATTAAGACAACAATCGCCACATGATATTTCTAAAAAGCAGAAGAGTATTTATGATTGTCAGGTGACTTGCTAATATTTTGAATGTTATTTAAGGAACCATAATGTCAGTCTGACCTGTTATACAATCAAATGATCTTGAAAAGACATGATACTTTTTTATTTATTAAATTCCCCTCGTTAATAAGGTGCAGCGGGTATACTGATCTGTTAGGCTGTCTATCTGTCATCTCAATCTTGGTCTGTCATTTCTATCTTGGTCTGTCATCTGTATCTTGGTCTGTCATTTCTATTTTGGTCTGTCATCTCAATCTCGGTCTGTCATCTCTATCTTGGTCTGTCATCTCTATCTTGGTCTGTCATCTCAATCTTGGTCCGTCATTTCTCAAAGTTTGTTATGGTCCTGATTAGATATTCAGACATTTCGAGTAAATAATTCAGAAATAATTGCATGTGAAAGGCTTGGATTAGCTAAATTATCTCAAAATGCTATTAAAAAGTGGTTAGACTGTTATTTTGGGATTCTAACACATTATACATGTATATGCTATAATAAACAGACCAACTAAACTTAAGTATTTGATACTCATGAATACTTTGTAAAAATTAAATAACACAAATAACTAATTGATTTCATGTATGATTATTCATTAATTGATTATACAAATACTCTTTATCTTTATAACCTATTGTTATACTTATTAAGTTTTATTAAATCTCTGAAAAGTTAAACTACAGGATATAAAAAGATGCAAATTACTATTGCTACTGTATTTCAGACTATTGACAAACTTCATATAGGATATACAAAGATGCAATTACTATTGCTACTATTTACGTATTGAACATAATATGAATGTATGCAAAAATCGTTCTTTTTTTCAACATGGGCTTCTAACATACAGGAAGAGTGTTAATCCATTTTCAAATTTCCAAACATTCTTTCCAATTTTGGAAAATGTTTGCAAGAGGAGAAAACTCCTTGGTAGAACAAATTGCAACCCTGTCTTAACAAACTATAGAAAGAGCATGTTTTGATGCTTGTAAGTTATTATGAATTCTTATTTCATAATGACCTAGTTTTATCATTAATGTGTAATGCACTCATGAGACAAAATTATTGATAGACCCCACACAATACACCATGCTCCTTCTTCTTGCTTTGTATAGACAGGGATACAGGTTGTCCAACCTAGTAGAAGAATGTTACTTGTAAATTGACTGTTATCACAAGAAAAATAGCGGCAATCCACAACAAATGGAAAATAACAGTAAACTAACATTCTGCATGATGGTAAATGTTCATTGCATGGTTGATGAAGTGATGGCACCAAGTTTTATTGATCAAGAAAATTAAAGAATGATTGCATGTACTGCTGCCGCTGTATGACAGATAAATTGTAACAAAACATATGCCAACAAATTTGTGTTATTTACTGTATGCTTTATTATGACATAACAGAGAGATTGCCATCTTTTGTTGTGTTTGTTGTCCCCCAAGTCTTCTTCTGTTTCTCCACACTAATACCCGGAGACTGTTATCACATACTTTCATATTGGGTAGGAATAATTGTTATTTCTTTTTGACCATCCTATACTTTCATTTTTAAATTTATAATTATTCCAGGATCTGTGGAACATCAACCATTTTTTTACTACCTTTATTTTCTTTGGTATCAATTTTCGTGGATTAAAGAAAAATTGTATTTTTGAGGATACTTGATATCATGGTTTTGCCATAGTCTGCATACAAGCTAATAGAAAATTTGTACTTCGTTAAACACGTAATTTCATGGTTCACGTATTACCACAAAAATTGGTATCCCACAAAAAATAATGAATCCACAGTATTGTAATTCACTAACACATTGTGAACACAACTCCTTTGTGACCATTTCACAGAAAGCTTTCATATTTAGTAGGATGGTTTGTCATCATGTGTGGTTGGACATCCTATGATGTCATTTGGATTTGACAATTATTGGGGCAGTTTGGCTTTTTTGTGTGATAATTATAAAATAACTAATCGAAGAATTCAAATATAGAAAAATATTGAACAAGTGACCGAACAACACATTAATTCATGAATGCGCGTAGAGCATGAGTTAATTATCAGTGTTGTTCGGTCACGAGTTGAATATTTTTGATATTTGAATTCTTTGATTAGTTGTTTTTTTTATTACATTGACAATGGGCTTTTTAGTGGAATTAAAGTAGAAAATGTAAGGAACTATATCCTTTTCTATGCATTCACAATTTGCTTTGATGCGACGTCATCGACAACGTCTTGACAACACCTATTATTATACCTTACATTATATAGTAATTATTTGATTGGCTAATACGGAATCATGTGTCATAGTTTAATTTTGATGTTTTTCCAAAAATTGGCAGGAGCGGTGAATAACCCAGACAAATTGAAGCCTCCATAGAACAACCCTATTATTCCCCGGTGAATAACCTTTTCAGCCCCTTGGTTTTTGCACGAGTTATCTCCCATAAAAAATGACGTCATTGACGCCTGTAAACAAAATGGAAATGGCCAGGTAAGAAGCACATCAAGTAACAAGGAAACAGGATCAAACAAGGCTTGGAAAATCATCTAGTTCCGAAGATATCTCTCGTAAACGGTCCTTTTCAGGGCCATCAATATTTTACAGAAAGAGTCTACCTTTTGTTGTACATACCAGAAATTCTTAGACACAAAATAATTTTCTAACGTAAATGTTTTGACAATCTTTTTTATCTCCCGTAAGGCAATAGTTTACACTTAATTGTTTGTTCGGTATAATAAAACAGTTATGGCCCATTGAGTCTGTGAATATCCAAAATTGTCAACCCGAGTAAGGGTTATTCCCCTCGGCTAAAGCCCTCGTGGAATAAACCCTTACTCGGGTAGACAATTTTGGATATTCACCTCCTCAGCTGGCCATAATTGTTTATTGTTGTATGACGTCAGAGGAGTGAAATAACCGAGTATATTTCATATGTGAAATTATCGGTTTTTATTTCACTGGGAAATCACAGTAATTCATTGCAACCAATGTAATAATACATCAGTTACAAAGTGAAAGAGGACATTTCACTATGGTTAAGTAATCTTTTTTTTTTCTGTTTAGGTCACAACTCTTATTGGATCATTAAATAGTTAAAAAAATTCACACATTCATTTGTTTGCCAATGATATATTTTGTAGATTAGATTTAAAAAAGATTGTGGCCCAGATAACATTTGTGAGACAGATATGAAATTAAATGTTGATCCAAAATATAATTATGGAAGACCAGATACCCTAGTCAGAGGACCATTAGCAGGCTTTCATTTAGATGTTAATGTTACTAACTTGAGAGAACCCTCGTATGGAACAGTATTGAAGGTCGATGCACCTTATTACATAAGCTATTTGAAGGTCAAAACACATTCACTACTTGCTGTGTCATGTTCACCACGTAACATTAATGAGACCAAATCTATACTAGAATGTGAATTATCGGGTTTGGACAAGCCATTTGTGACGAGTAGAGTGGACAGATTTACTATTTATTTTGAAGCTCGTCATACTCCCATACTAAATACTTTTGATTTGAAAATAAATCTAGAAACCAAAAGTGTGGATATAAACATGTCAAATAATAAGAGAGTACTACAAATGAAAGTAGAATCATCTGCTGACATAGCATTTGAAGGGTGAGTTAGTGTGTTTTCTTTAAAAAGTATTATGTTCTGTAAGAACAAATATTCAAATAGTTTGAAAATGATTTGATACATGAAATTATACATAATTTTATATTATTTATAGTGTTAACAAAATGGAGAAGAAAAAACATATCAAAATAGATTATAATTCAATGTAAATAGAGAATATCATATGACTTTTTCAATATCACATCCGTATCAACCCGAGACACCAATATAATCCCAAGAGCTCTGCTCGAGGGATTATATTGGTTTAGGGTTGATACGGTATGTGATATTGAAAAAGCCATATCATATACACTTTATTATATACATATACCTCACGTAGATGTTTTTTTGTGACATGACGTCATACAGATAAGGAGGTTTGAAATGACGTCATACAGATTATAGGTTTGACATGACATCATACAGATTAGGGGTTTGATAAAGCCTTTGCAACAGTGACTGCAATCGATGACGTGACGTCATACAGATTTAAGGTGTGATAAAGCCTTTGCAACCGTGCTGATATTAATATCATCACGGGTGGCTGATACAGCACGCTTGCCAATGATTGTATTACACATACAATTTATCTGTATTTACTACTAAGTATATAATAAAAGGAAATAATGTATGAGTCCCAATGAGACAATTTTTGAATTTTGGTAATGTTAACAAATTGAATCAAAATATTCCAATTGAATATGATAAAAGAATAAGCTGTTTGAGACCCATTGTATTAAACTTATTTTGAATATTGGGTGTTGTTAGTGAATATGGCCTTTTGTAGTGCCATAATGGTCTGTTGTATTTAACATCTACATGAAGAGTCTTTGAAAAATATCAATATATGATACCAATTTACATGTGCATGTCTCATGCTAATGAATCAGCCTTCATCAGATGCATTCAAGATCAAAAGATGGAAAGCCAAAACTTTAAAAGATGCATAAACCCAAAAGACCTTGAACAGAATAATAGAAAATTGTCTAAGGTCATCTTGGATTTGTAACCTTAGTCCTATTTTAATACATAATATATAAGCTGGAAATTTACAAATGTACAAGTATCTTTGAAATCATTTCATTACCAAACTAAATTACATGAAAAAACAAATAAAAAGGTATATACCCTATAGGGAAAAGACAATGTAGGTAAGACTTGATCATTTTGAATTTTACCTAGATGTGCAATCGATATAACTTTCACAGGTAAATAATACAATTGAATAGATATTTTAATGATTTTTCTGCAGATTTGGTAATCCAGAATTGTTTGTTACTAGCAAAACTAAAGTGGATAAAGTTACACATAGATTTGATTTTACCAACAATGGACCTAGTATCCTGGAGTCTCACATGGGGACTCATTCAATATTTACTGTCAAATACCCTAGTGTAGTTATCGACCAGAAATCTATCCTGAAAGTATCTGAACTGGTTGGTTTTTAAACTTAAATATATTATGTGTATTAGTCTATCTTGGACAAGATGTCATATGCATTTCAATTTTCTGAAGTAATCTATTCATTGTTCATACTGTTTGCTGCTAATTGCTGTTAACCTTTTTGTATTTCAGTAGCATTCTTTGCTACCCATTGACAAAAAGTCTTTGTAGAAAAAATTTCTGTTGAAGAACAAGTCTATTTGAAACAAACAATTTGCTTGTTTACATGTATTAGAAATGCACTTTTTGGAAAGATAAATTTGTTAGAGAACCTACTTTGATATATGTGGGTCATGGAAATTAAAGGTCTATGATGATAAATTATTTCATGTAATTATTCAATGAATACAGTGTAGTTTTACCTCATAATATACTCTTAATCAGAAAACAATTCTTTGAAATAAATGAAATATACTGTGTATAAAGAAATACTTTTTTACTTTCTCTTTTGTATTTTTTAGAATTTTGTTGTTCCTGTTGAAACATTGTATTTTGATTGTGGATCATCAATAATAAAGACAATAGTTCCAGGTAGTTCAAGACTTAACTCTACACTAACTTATCAGTTAAAACAAAGAGATGAAGCAATAGATAATGGTTTAAATTATGTGAGTAAAGATAATTTTAAATGATCAATAAAATTGAGAATGGAAATGGGGAATGTGTCAAAGAGACAACAACCCGACCATAGAACAGACAACAGCAGAAGGTCACCAACAGGTCTTCAATGCAGCGAGAAATTCCCGCACCCGGAGGCGTCCTTCAGCTGGACCCTAAACAAATATATATACTAGTTCAGTGATAATGAACGCCATACTAAACTCCAAATTGTACACTAAAGAAACTAAAATTAAAAATAATACAAGACTAACAAAGGCTAGAGGCTCCTGACTTGGGACAGGCGCAAAAATGCGGCGGGGTTAAACATGTTTATGAGATCTCAACCCTCCCCCTATACCTCTAGCCAATGTAGAAAAGTAAACGCATAACAATACGCACATTAAAATTCAGTTCAAGGGAAGTCCGAATCTGATGTCAGAAGATGTAACCAAAGAAAATAAACAAAATGACAATAATACATAAATAACAACAGACTACTAGCAGTTAACTGACATGCCAGCTCCAGTAGTTTAGTTTGCGAGCTTAGGTCAGTTTCTCATTAAATATGAGTAAGAGGACTATTTTGCTTCTATACTATGGGTGTAAGAAAGACAAATAAGGCATAGATACACAGAGGAGAAGACAGAGACAAAGGAGAACCATTGGATTACAGGTTCAAACGTCTCTTCACAGTTCAATGATCAACTTTATTTTTTTTGCAATTTATAGGCTAGTTTCTCAGTTTACAGTGAGTATTTAGTTCAACTAAAGTTGGTGTAAAGAACAAAAGTAAGGTGTTCATGTTTGTCTGAAAAGAGATAATCTGAGTTTTCATGCTTAGGTCAGTCTCTATGAACTATGAGTAATAGGTCAACTATAATTGGTCTGCAGTGTAAATGTAAGTCATACATATCAGTCTGACAGAAATCACTAGACCTTGAACTCTTATCACAGTTCCATGATTATCATTCTTAGGTCAGTTTCTGATTTACGACAATGTAGATGACATCCTTTCACCAAATAATTCTAAGTTGAATGCATATATTCTAATGAATTTGAAATAAAGGATACCATAGATACAGTTATTAAAGACTGCTTCATATCTTGACTTGTATCTAAAAAAAAGCAATGTTGTCCATTGAGAACTAAACTTGACAACAATACAGAATCTCAGATCATATCAATTTTCTCATTGTGATTTCTATGTAGCAACATTCCAGCTGTGCCTTCATATATAGTATATATCTATAATTGTATAGGGGGTATCATTAGTGAGCAGTAGCTAACATTTCAACTTGTTTTGTCCCCTGAAAATTGACATGCTTTTTCGTGTTTGGAAAACAAAGTCTCACCAGAAAATAATTCATATCAAACTCCTGAATACTATGTTAAATGTACTATTCATTTTTTCCTAGTAGAAGTGATTCTACTTGAATATTACTTGTATTTTGATCATTGAGTCTTGTGTTGTAGAATTGTGAATTAGGTGGCTGTACGATGGTTGAATGTGAAATTTCCCCACTAGATGTGAAAGCTTTTGTCACAATAAAGTTGAGTTATGATATGGATGTAGATATATTAGCCAAAGTCAAGGTATGTATTTATCAATCTAGAAAAGGTAACAAATCCAATATCAGCTGTTTGTCTCTAACAGTCAGGGTAGTTAGTGAAATCCAGGTGCTCTCTTATTTGTTTATTCAAAATTATTGGCTCTCAGGCAAGAATTACTTTCAACTTGATGGATTCTAGTTATTGAGCCTGAGTCTCAAGAGAATATAACATTCAGCAATTCATAAGTCACCTACCAATAAAGCTGAAGGGAACTATTGGTTTGTTTACTGAAGTTATGGCCCTTGGACAAAAGAAATCTTGAAAATTTTCAGCTTCCACACTGTTTTCTGTAATACTTGAAGCAATAGACTATTTTCATATTACCGACTCTGGAGTATATAATTTTTAGACAGGTTGTTTACTTTGTGGTAGCACATTCTGGTACTTTGTCATGTAAGAGCAACTAAAAGAAGTAAAATCAAACTTGCAATCGGTGCAATTTTGGGAAAAAATGAACTGTTCATATGTTTTCTATACACGACAAAATCATTGGAAAACAATTAATAACCCATTGTAGCTTAAAGAATATAGCAACAATGGCCTTTTCCAATGGCTTGCTTTCCAGCTGGAAAAATACAAGAAATTGAAAATTCAAGTATAATTTTCAATTATTTGCTAAATTCAATTGAAACACTTACATTTTGTTAATTTTTTATTGTTCATGAAAAAACTGAACCAGCAGTTTTGAACCAGATGTAAATTCAGGCAACAGTAGTTTATTGATGTACAAATCTCTTATATTGATTTAGTATAAACAAAAGTTAACAAACAAAAAATGAGAGAAAAGCATAAACTCCAAAAAGGAGCAAAACCGACTGTTGGACAGGGTAAGCAATGCAGTCTCATAAACAGGTTAATTGATATCCAGAATTTACTTTTGTCTTACTGAATTCTGAAGGATGTGGACAATTTGTTTATTTCAGAGACAGAGTTCTAAAGTAGAGAGCTTATCTGTATCATCTGTGGCAACAGCATCTATGCCACCAAACATTGGATTAACAACGTCCCTTAGCCATTCAGCTTTCGTGAGTAGAAACCACATAATTTTTGTCTCGCCTGCGACGAAAGTCACAGTATGCGAGACATAGGTAGTTCTATCCGGCAGCGGGGTAAACTATTTGTATAAAGCTTTATATTTCAGAAGGTAGAAGACCTGGATGCTTCATATCTTGTATGCAGATACCTTATGTTACAAAGTTTACGTCTGTCATATGTCCAATGTCCTTGAGCTCATTTCCATTTCATTTTTTGATTTTTTTTGTCATGTGAATTTCGAACTTATTATGATTAATAGGATAACCATAATTGATATATGGGTCCCTTGCAACGTCTACATGTCCGTCAGACAGGGTTCACCTGACCTCGACCTCATTTCATGGATCACTTATTAATAGTAATAGGATAACTATATTTGGTATATGGGTTTCTTGCAGCATCCATATATCCGTTATACAGAGTTCACCTGACCTTGACTTCATTATATGGATCAGTGATCAAGGTTCAAGTTACGTGATTAGGTCTGTTTCTCAAATACTATTAGTAGCAGGTCAACTATATGTGGTGTATGGAATGACTGTAATGGGTACATGTCAGTCTGACAGGTTTTATCTGACCTTAACCTCATTTTAATGTTTCATTAGTCAATGTTAAGTTTTATTGTTTTGGTCTTTTTTTCAAGTACTATAGGCAACAGGTCAACTATATTTGGTGTATTGAATGAGTGTAAGGTGTATGTGTCTGTCTGGCAGGTATCATCTGACCATGACCTCGTTTTCATGGTTCATTGGTCAGTGTTAAGTTTAAAGTTTTTTGGTCTGTTTTTCAAGTACTATAAGCAGTAGGCCAACTATATTTGGTGTATGGAATGACTATAATGGGTACATGTCAGTCTGGCAGGTTTCATCTGACCGTGACCTCATTTTCATTGTTCATTGGTCAATGTTAAGTTTTTGTGTTTTGGTCTGTTTTTCAAGTACTATAAGCAATAGGTCAAATATATCTGGTGTATGGAATGATTGTTAGATGTAAATGTCTGTCTGGTAGGTATCGTTCAACCTTTACCTTATTTTCATGGTCCATTGGCCAATGTTAAGTTTTTGTGTTTTGGTTAGTTTTTTAATTACTATAAGCGGCAGTAGGTCAATTATATTTTGTGTATGGAATGATTGTAAGGTGTACATGTTTGTCTAGCATGCATTATCTGACCTTGACCTCATTTTAATGGTTCATTGGTCAACGTTAAGTTTTTGTGTTTTGTTCTGTTTTTCAATAACCATTAGCAATAGGTCAACTATATTTGGTGTGTGGAATAATTGTAAGGGGTATATGTCTGTATGGTAGGATTTATCTGACCATGACCTTATTGTCATGGATCTTAAAAAATGTTAAGTTTATGTGATACTTGTTGTAATACCTTGATCTTTAGGACTTTCAACATAAAATCAATGTTTAGTAAAACAGTTGAGACATTTCAGCGTGTGAACTCTTGTTTATATTTATTTAGGCAAAAACAGATGTTGTACCAGCAGAACAGAAGAAGGAGAGTGTGGAGTGGTGGGTGGTGCTTTTACCTATCGTATTAGCACTGATTGTATTGGGCGTTGTAATTTTTGTATTTTGGAAGGTAAGTTATATACATGATAGGCTGTGTTGATAGCAATATTAGCAGCAATGATTAAATTGGCCATTGTTATTTATGTATTTTGGAAGGTATTTACAATCATGGTGGGCTGTGTTGATACCAATCCATACAAAGGAAATTAATGGCCTGATTTATGTAGAAAACAATAAATGAAAAACAAAAATGATATACAGAAATGTTCTAAATGACTCACATCATACAATAAGCTTAAGCTAGCTTATGGATTTTAGCAGTTGTGAAACAATTCAACAGATACCAAAGCGGTAATGTTACAAAACAAAGACAAAAATTAGATAAAGAATAAACAGTCAGCCATTAGAATGGTTACTTATATGAGGACACATAAACAGTCCGCCATTAGAATGGTTACTTATATGAGGGCACATAAACAGTCCGCCATTAGAATGGTTACTTATATGAGGACACATAAACAGTCCGCCATTAGAATGGTTACTTATATGAGGACACATAAACAGTCCGCCATTAGAATGGTTACTTATATGAGGGCACATAAACAGTCCGCCATTAGAATGGTTACTTATATGAGGACACATAAACAGTCCGCCATTAGAATGGTTACTTATATGAGGACACATAAACAGTCCGCCATTAGAATGGTTACTTATATGAGGGCACATAAACAGTCCGCCATTAGAATGGTTACTTATATGAGGACACATAAACAGTCAGCCATTAGAATGGTTACTTATATGAGGACACATAAACAGTCCGCCATTAGAATGGTTACTTATATGAGGACACATAAACAGTCCGCCATTAGAATGGTTACTTATATGAGGGCACATAAACAGTCCGCCATTAGAATGGTTACTTGTATGAGGACACATAAACAGTCCGCCATTAGAATGGTTACTTATATGAGGGCACATAAACAGTCCGCCATTAGAATGGTTACTTATATGAGGACACATAAACAGTCCGCCATTAGAATGGTTACTTATATGAGGGCACATAAACAGTCCGCCATTAGAATGGTTACTTATATGAGGACACATAAACAGTCCGCCATTAGAATGGTTACTTATATGAGGACACATAAACAGTCCGCCATTAGAATGGTTACTTATATGAGGACACATAAACAGTCCGCCATTAGAATGGTTACTTATATGAGGGCACATAAACAGTCCGCCATTAGAATGGTTACTTATATGAGGACACATAAACAGTCCGCCATTAGAATGGTTACTTATATGAGGACACATAAACAGTCCGCCATTAGAATGGTTACTTATATGAGGGCACATAAACAGTCCGCCATTAGAATGGTTACTTATATGAGGACACATAAACAGTCCGCCATTAGAATGGTTACTTATATGAGGACACATAAACAGTCCGCCATTAGAATGGTTACTTATATGAGGACACATAAACAGTCCGCCATTAGAATGGTTACTTATATGAGGACACATAAACAGTCCGCCATTAGAATGGTTACTTATATGAGGACACATAAACAGTCCGCCATTAGAATGGTTACTTATATGAGGGCACATAAACAGTCCGCCATTAGAATGGTTACTTATATGAGGACACATAAACAGTCAGCCATTAGAATGGTTACTTATATGAGGACACATAAACAGTCCGCCATTAGAATGGTTACTTATATGAGGACACATAAACAGTCCGCCATTAGAATGGTTACTTATATGAGGGCACATAAACAGTCCGCCATTAGAATGGTTACTTGTATGAGGACACATAAACAGTCCGCCATTAGAATGGTTACTTATATGAGGGCACATAAACAGTCCGCCATTAGAATGGTTACTTGTATGAGGACACATAAACAGTCAGCCATTAGAATGGTTACTTATATGAGGACACATAAACAGTCAGCCATTAGAATGGTTACTTATATGAGGGCACATAAACAGTCAGCCATTAGAATGGTTACTTATATGAGGGCACATAAACAGTCAGCCATTAGAATGGTTACTTATATGAGGGCACATAAACAGTCCGCCATTAGAATGGTTACTTATATGAGGACACATAGTCAGCCATTAGAATGGTTACTTATATGAGGGCACATAAACAGTCAGCCATTAGAATGGTTACTTATATGAGGCCACATAAACAGTCAGCCATTAGAATGGTTACTTATATGAGGGCACATAAACAGTCCGCCATTAGAATACTTATATGAGGTCACATAAACAGTCAGCCATTAGAATGGTTACTTATATGAGGGCACATAAACAGTCAGCCATTAGAATGGTTACTTATATGAGGACACATAAACAGTCAGCCATTAGAATGGTTACTTATATGAGGACACATAAACAGTCAGCCATTAGAATGGTTACTTATATGAGGACACATAAACAGTCAGCCATTAGAATGGTTACTTATATGAGGACACAAAATCATATCTAGTTAATGTTTTATGGAACCTACCATTTCAGTTTCAGAAAGAAAATATGAGATTAATTTTCATGCTTCCTTCTAAAATCTCACAATTTGTTCCAATCTTAATATTTCTGTTGTGGTAAAAAATTTAAAATGCACAAGACAGTAAAAGCAAAGATTAGTAAAGTTACATATTTTTTTTAAATCAACCAGAACATATGTACTCTCTGTAATTAATTTTTTTTTTACAGTTGGGATTCTTTAAACGAAAACATAAAGAAATAATGGAAGCCAGAAAAAAATCTCAGTACGCAGAACCAATAAAAGATAAAGAAAATTTAATACAGAATGGCAATAATAAAGAAAAAGAGGCTCCTAATGAAACAAAGGAAGATGGACCTCCAATTGATGTGAGTGCTGAAAATTATGATGAGTTCGATAAAATGTTGAAAGAGGTTCAAGATTATGCCTAATGCATAAAAGATTAGCATGAGATGTTTTAGATATGGAAATTTGTATTGGAAGCCTTATTTAAATAAGCCTGGATTACAAGCATGCTTACAGAGGCTGGTCAAAGACCTATTTTATCTAGAAAGTCTGCCAAAAGTCAACAATTCCTGTATTTCTTCCTTTTTAAATAAACTATAAAGGATCTCATTGATATTTTGTTGAATGGCTAATTTCAACATAAGGAACTGAAAATAGCAGATGAATATCCATAATAAGTGCCATATAGAGTCTAGACATTTGTCCGATTGTAATGATCTTTTGGGTGTGAAATCTTTTTTTAATGTGTTTTTACACACTTCCATGACCCAAACTATTAACATTGCTTTAATTTTAAAAATCTTAACACAGAAGTTAGTGTTAACCCATTTAAACCTACACATTCTTAGATTTTTTAGTATTTTCACCCAGAAGATATCTTTCATATGTAGATGAATATTATTACTCTGATTAATCACATTGCCTTTGGTTTATCAACATATCAAAGTAGAACGGTTTTTGTTGAGCTTTTCTTTTAAAGTATTGATAGTTATGTACACAAGAGACCAAAAATAGAGATTTTAGTGAAAGTTGACAAACTCTCCTGGATTTTAACCAGATTTTGGACTAGAAAACATAGAGCTCAGGGTTTAGCAAACTAAATTTTCAAGTCATGTAGATTGATTGTTGTAACACACATAATTTGGAAAGATCTTCAGTTTGATGCATGACCTATAATGTTTTTGGCTCCAAAACTTATGAAAATTGTTGCTTTTTTCATTGAATTTGGTTCAAAACTGAAATATACTTTTACATCATAAAAACAAATCTTATACATACATTAAAAAAGACCTATTTACTATCTACTCATTGTTTAACTACATTGTTATATGGCCATTAAATCATAATTGGAAATTATAACTGGAAAAAATGGTGATATTGGGGTCCCATCAAACCTTGTTTGACTTTAGATGCATATTAATAACTTAAAAAACACAATACTTTAAAAAAAAATGATTGATTCTATTGTTCTTGATATCACACACGCTTTAATCAGATAGGGGTTCATAATTTTATTTTGACAATCTATACAATATTAGGTTGGACACAGTTAGACTATTAGAATTAAAACAACATTATGTGGTGATATGAAAAATATTACAGTAGATTATTTTTAAAGAAGTGTCTAGTCTTTTTCTTAGCTCTTATTATCTTTTACTGCCATTTGTGTGTGATATTATGAGTTTAATTGATTATGTGTATATTGTGTTGTATCAGTTGTGTGTAATTCATTAATTCTCCTTCATTTTTTACCAAGCTTGCTCAATAAGTGTTATGTATTACCTTTTTAATTGATCTGTTGTGATTGAAAAGAAAGTTTTATATGATTTTGCAGATTCAGATTCAGATTCAATATTTTATTATAGTCTCACTACTTGCAATACATAAATATACAGTACATACAGAGTATATACACAATATAAAACAGACAATTAACAAATATAAAATACAAGTACCATTCTATTAGGAATTATGAGAGACTGTAAAATAAATTCTATATAAAACTATTTTATTACATAAGACTATTAAAATAACTTTATTTTAAGAATATAAAAAGGTATTTCTTCTACTTAAAATATTAAAGCAGGTTTTGGCAACCATATCATAACAATTAATATTTTGAAATAAATACACAAATTTATCATCATCAGACAAATCATAAAAATCTACATTATACTTCATAGCTTCACTATATAAACAAAAACGCAAATCTGCATATAACGGGCATGATAATATGACATGTTTTTCATCTTCTATTTTATCATTACACATAAAACACACTCTTTCGTCTACATTTTTTTTGCACTAAACTGACTGATTTAATGAGAAATCTGCCAAAATTTCTTTAATTTCTAATCAAAGAATATATCATTTTAAATTGTGAAACTATCTTAAAGCTTTTTTTGCAAATATTCAAAATTAGGTATTTGTTGGAATAGGTATCAAGAACAGATAATCTGGTCAATAGGATTTAACTAAGATTTTGAACTTTCATAGAAGGAAAGCTTACAGCTTATATAATAAAGTCCTTTCATCTGCATATAAATGCTTAATATTTTATTTTACTACTGATTTTGGTAATTGGGATAACTGAGGTTTGATTAGTATGCAATCAGGATTTATTATGACCAGTAGACATTATATAAGCATAGAATATACCAGTGTAGCTTTATTTGTCCATTATATTTGATATTTTCTTGATTGATTATATTTCTGGGTATGTGATCGAGGGCTTCCAAAACAGTCATATTTGCTGGACAAATCTGTTTCTTTCAATATATGTCTAGATAGAATAACATTGAACTTGACCTGCAGAATGTTATATATAATCAGACAGAGGTTCAAGGTGATCATTTTAGGCTAGACAGTTTTCCCAAATTAAAATTGATTCAAAATTAGTTGTTAAACAAATTAGAGGATATTTATTGGACAATTTAGTGCAAAAACATCATATGTTTAAAATATTTACTTATCTTCTTCAGTCGATTCAATAATTTTTTGTTTAAGATTTGAACTGATTTGGTCATTAAAGACACTCAAATCAAATCTGCCAAAAAACGTCACTTTTCAGATGATTTTTGTCTAAAATGGAAGTGGTCGCATTCATGTTCAGTCTCAACATTTATATATGTTATGTATTATCATTAAATACAAAATATATTAAAATATTTAGACTGAACACAAATGCAGCCACTTCCATTTTAGACAAAAACCGTCTTAAGATTAGCCCAAATGCTAAAATTGTGAAGATTTCAGTATTTTTTCATGAAATAATGATGCTAGTACTTGATGCTTGTCCATTGTATTGTCAAAAACAGCTCATATTTATGTAACAAAAGTATTATACTTTCCAATGAATAGCTAAAAGTTTACATTTTCAACAACTTTGTAAAAACACTATAATTTGGGGCCAAAAAGGGGTCTTACTGGACCTACTCCTTTGGCCTAAAAAGGCCATTTTATGTCACAGTCACAGTCTTTATCAAAAAGATATTTTATCCACATTTTCACTTTTTTTTTAGAAACACAGTCTTTATCAAAAAGATATTTTATCCACATTTTCACTTTTTTTTAGAAATATCTTTTGGCAAATGATATCTTTTTAGATCGAGCTGTGGCTCATCTCTAATAGCAATAACAAATCTCAACATAATATGCTATTTTAAAAGTCTTCCTTAAGGAATGAAGTTTGAAGCAAATATGCAAAGTAAAATTCATTAGAATGCTAGTAAGTGATCAACAGAAAACTTTGAATGATGGTGTCAATTCAAAGCTAAAATCAAGAACTAGTCCCTGAAGTTAAGTTCTTACCATGTCTTAAAATGACAATGTCATTTAAAAGCCACAATCAAGTATTTGGCGCTCAAGTTAAGTTTTGTTTTGTCTTGGAAAGACAATCTGTCCATCAAGTTATTTTCTTATCCTCAAGTAGCAGTATAGTAATTTCCTAGCACAAGAACTTAAAAATGTTCTCTGAATTGAACAAGAAAAAGATATTTATAGGGCTAACGATGTAAATTTATAAAGAAAATCATAACTATCAGACATCTAGAACTTCATTTTAGAAAATGGATGATTTTTTATCATTCATATGATTAGATGGATTTTACCTTTGGTTGTGATTGTGTGATACCATTTTGATTGTTTTATACATATGTATTGTACATGGTTGTTAAGATTGAAATACCTTGTTAATGATAACTTTTTATGATGCCCATGTTTACTGTTGTAGTTCAACTTGGTTGTTATGTTTGATCAGCTACAGCTCATCTTTGTGTGTGTGTGTTTTTAACTAGCATGCTACAATATTTTTATAGCTATAGTTTATTTATGAATGTAGAAAAAAAACGATTCTGTGCATGCCAGTGGTGTTCAGATTTTTCTTGGTAAGTTGTTTTTAGTTTTTGCAAGAGTTTTTAAAAATTTGCTTTAACTAGTATGCTTCAGTGTATTATATTTTTTGCATAGAATTGTAAATTAATTTGGTGTTGATTGGCAGATCTTTGCTACTCTCTATTAGAATTATTCTCTACCTTTTAAATGTGGGGCACTTTAAAGAGGTGATAAATGGACAGAAAGTTACTATATTGTTTGGACAAAAAGTCACAATTAATAAGAATACAGTTTAGGACATTGTTCATTATGATCGCTAAATGTAGAGTTATCAGATTTTGATTATACAAAGGGTATTGTTCTGAGCTCCATGATGCCAGGTGAGAAACTTTTAGCTTGTTTTCTTTACTTTTTGATCCTTATTAATTTGTTGATAATAAATTTTGTTTAAAAATTGTTCCATATTAGATAGTTCAACAAAATAACATAAACTTTTTTGCCCCTACCGAGTAGCGCAAGCATTAAGGTATACAGTTATCTTTTCGTCCCTCCATCTGTACGTCCAGAAATTGGTTTCCATTCTCTTACTTTTTTTTGCCTCAACCAAATATTCTGAAACTTATACATAATGCTTATTACCACCAAACACAGATCAAGTACGAATTTTGGTGGTGTTGCTTTCACCGTTCTTGAGTTATGTCCCTTTATAAATGGAATATTTGGCAAATTTGTAGTTTCTGCACTCTAACTTTTCTTTGCCACAACTAAATCTTCTGAAACTTATATACAATGATTATTAGTACCAAACACAGATTAAGTTAGAATTTGGGTGGTGGCACTTTCTCCATTCTTGAGTTATGTCCCATTAGAAATGGAAAAATTGGTGAATTTGCTTTTTCTGCACTCTAACTTTACTGTGCATCAATGTCTCTTACCACCAAACACAGATTGAGATCAAATTTTGGTGGGGTAACTTACCCTGTTCTTAAGTTACCCTATTACTGTTTGTTATTGAACAATGAGAGCACTCAAACACCCAAGCAATCTCCAATGACAATAAACAGAATCAAATGTCATTAAGTTTCAAAGAAAACAAAAGGTCAGTAGGTATGAATTAATACATTGACATTGCATATTTACAAATGGGGGAATCTGTGTCTCATGGACACATTCTTCTTTTACTTTAGAAATAAATCATTTGTTCACAGAAGACAGAATAATGTAAAAACTGAATTGTGCCTTTTTGACATTCTTAGAGGTTTACTTATTGGATAGACACTGTTTATTGTCCTCTGACTTTCTGACATTCTTAGAGGATTACTTATTGGATAGACACTGTTTATTGTCCTCTGACTTTCTGACATTCTTAGAGGTTTACTTATTGGATAGACACTGTTTATTGTCCTCTAACTTTCTGACATTCTTAGAGGTTTACTTATTGGATAGACACTGTTTATTGTCCTCTGACTTTCTGACATTCTTAGAGGTTTACTTATTGGATAGACACTGTTTATTGTCCTCTGACTTTCTGACATTCTTAGAGGTTTACTTATTGCATAGACACTGTTTATTGTCCTCTGACTTTCTGACATTCTTAGAGGTTTACTTATTGCATAGACACTGTTTATTGTCCTCTGACTTTCTGACATTCTTAGAGGTTTACTTATTGCATAGACACTGATTATTGGTGACCTAAAGATATCAGGTGGGTTTTGGTCTACGAAAAATGACAAGCATGTCAAGCCCTCAACTGCCACTATTCTCAAATGAGTTGTGAAATTGAGAATGGAAATGGGGAATATGTCAAAGAGACAATAACCCGGCCAAAGAGCAGATAACAGCTGAAGGCCACCAATGGGTTTTCAACACAGCGAGAAAATCCCGCACCCGGAGGTGGTCCTCAGCTGGCCCCTAAATAAAAATGTATACTAGTTCAGTGAAAATGGACGTCATACTAAACTCCAAAACATATAAATGAACTAAAATTAAAAAACATACAAGACTAACAAAGGCCAGAGGCTCCTGACTTAGGACAGGCGTAAAAATAACATATATTAACAACTGCAGGTGGCATAGTCACTAAAAATAGATATTATCTGCAAAGTTAAAAATTATTTCATGCTCAAGTAGTGTTCAATTATATGAACACAAAGATAATGTTTAACATTTTTAACCATTGTTAACATTTGTATACAAGTCATTTAAAGTCATGTCTATAAATTCAATTGCATCTAGTGTGATTAAACTTTACAAGAGGATTGTTATACATTTGAATGCAAAAACACTCGAAGTCAAAAAGTAAAAGAAAAAAAGAAAAAAAACTGTTTTGAAAAATAGGGTCCATTAATGTTCATGTTTTAAAGGGGCATTAGCTGCCAATTTAATAACCATCCAGTTGACTCAAGCTATCTTGTTTGAATTAAAAGATAATGAAATATTTAACAGAATTCAAAAGACCCATAGGAAACTATAAACAATACATGAAATTGTAATAAAGTATAAGCATTTCATGAGTATTTTAGAACTGAACGTCATCTTATTCACCAACATGATGACCTCCAACACTGTGGATGGTCACGTGACTCTATAGAAACATAAATATAAAAAGACAAGAACAAGCAATAGTATAATGACAATTTTCCTAGGTCTTTTTGAATTGATGACATAGATTTATAAATATGTAAATCATTTTTTTACCTATATAAGAATGATATATTGTGGGCTGATTAAGTCAACAAAATGGCTCCGTTGTTTCACTATTCAATTTTTACAATTTTATCTTTTTAATGACTAAACATGTTAAACATATATAAGCCCAAACCCATCTCCAAATAAGGGTCAAATTAGAGGCATACAGACACACAGGTCTTGCAATACAATAATATCAGTGCTGTTTGATCAATTTTTATTACAAAATTGGAAAAACCAGGCTGCTAATATAGATTTTTTATTTAAATAAACTGCTTTTTATAGTTGACGAACAAATCCTTATTTTTGAATTTTTGTCTTAATTGTAGCTAATGCTCCTTTGAGTTTGAATAATTCTCCAACTGCTTATTTATATATATATTTCAACCATGTATGACTTTCCTTTATAAATATATTGTTCTGACCCATATTAATTAGTGCTACAAATTAATCAGAAATCAACTGACCATTATTAATACATGTAGTAATTCATTGGTTCTATTGTACGATTCACATATATAAATGACTATAAAATCTTCAAAGTATTTTAAGAAGTATGTTTTTCATAACAAATTGGGCATTCAATTCAAACACTTTTCATGTAAAAATAATTTATATAGATAATAGTAGAATGAGTTGTATATCATAAAGTGTGTAGTATGGACTTGCTTATATAGGGCACACAAGTTTTGTTTAAGTTGTTTTCTGTTGCTTCAGGTTCTATTATATTGACTTTTAATCGTATTATGATTTATTGTTACAGTAGAAAAACTAAAACAAAGTATCCTGACCACTGAAGGAATTTAAAGCTTAAATAGCAGAGTTAAAACTTGTAATGGAAATTATACTGACAGAAATCAGATGTCTTAGCATTGAAAACACAACTTTTTGTGGAATATTTTGTTTACAAACTTAAAATCTTTTTATCATTATTATAAATTAAGGCAGATTTTGTATATATAGCTGGTAACAAAATGATTGACTTGCAATCTTTGATTGAATTTAATTGAATTTTGATTTTGTTTAATACATTTATTTTTACCAGTGTTATTCATGAAGATGTTGTGATAATCAGTGGTGTGTTCATTTTATCCGCTCATTTTAATCATTTAAATCATTCAACTATTGTATTTGATTTGTCAACAATTTTACCATAATGTCTATGCTGCAGTAGAATTAATATCTTATATAGCCAAGTATCCAAACTGAATGTAAAGGAACTGTCATGAGTCCTAGTGTGTACTTGATCTATAAGAAGTCATATTTGTAAAGTTTTATTGTTATACTTATGATATGATATTGTGTGTACAGGATATATGTAAACAAATATTCTAAACACATGTGAAAAGTGCTTATATTTTGTTTCTTTCCTGTAAAATCCACAAAATTAATTCTTTGACATCATTAACAATTTGCATTGCTTTATACATGATTTAGTTATTGATTGTTTCCTGTTATTCAGTAATTAATATTAGCAAATTTTATATTTATAGATACCTCATGATACCACTTGATGTGAACATATTTATTGTTATTAATCTACAAATCAGGTATTTCAGTATTCTTTTTTATCTTGGAAAGTGCTCAAAATCTATATAGGAAATGTTGCCTGGAATAACACCTTCCATCAAATATGGAAATATGCCATGTTGCCTGGAATAACACAGATCTATTATATAAAATCTTGTCTGAAAATGATGGGAATTTTGCACAACATCATATTTATTATTAACAGTTATAAATAATGACAATGTTTCCCAGTGTTTTTTAATAATTATTTTTTTGTACAAACACTATGTTTAAAAGTAGATGATAGTCTTAGTATGCTAGTACTAGGGGATAAGTTTCTAGTTTGAAATTTGTTTTGAAGCCTGAATCAAATAGCTAATGATTGTAGCAAAATATTGTTAAGATCCAATAGTTTGGAATATTACTTTTGGGGGTATTGTTAAAATGAAAGGTCTTCTTTATCAACATTTTGGCTATTTTATTTCTGACACCATATTTTTAATCAATCGGTCAAGAAATTTACACATATGGTTAGCATTTAATTTATTAGGTCATTGTATCATTTATTTCAGTCACCTTGTCATTATTCAGAGCTGTTCTATCACTAATTAATATTGATTGTGAATTGACCTAATCACATTATAATGTTATGTTATAAAATAAACAATGAAAAATTGCATGTTGTTATGTGCATGTGAAATATAAGTTTTTGTGTACATGAATGTAATACGCTTTAATGTATATTGATGCTGTGAATGAGAATGTTTTAAGAAGGTATGCATGTAGATTATTTAATAAATACTATACAAAGCATGAATCTAGTACTCAATTGCATTTGTCGTCGTCATTTAAAATATATGTTTTGAAAAGATTAATTGAAACTACATAACAAAGAAAAACGAATGACAAAGATGTAGGCTTTATTTACCTTAAACAGTTCTTTAGTACAAAGGAAAAATAGAAAATATTACAAGATTAAATCTGAAACAGTTTTTCTGAGTAAGTGGGTTGAAAATTCCAATCCTTTTTACTTAGTTTTCTGTATTTGGTTCAGTCATTGGTAAATGCTTGAACTATATCTTTACTGCGACTGTCATACAAGTGAGAGGTTTAGCTAGCTTTAAAACCAGGTTCAATCCACCATTTTCTACATAAGAAAATGCCTGTACCAAGTCAGGAATATGACAGTTGTTATCCATTCGTTTGATGTGTTTGAACTTTTGATATTGCCATTTAATTGGGGACTTTCCTTTTTGAATTTTCCTCGGAGTGCAGTATTTTTGTGATTTTACTTTTTACTGGCAACATAACGTGAACACATTTGTGGCTCATATCTTCTTATTTTTATATGCAATGTCTGTATTTTGAAGAATACAATTTAAACCTTATTGCACTTAAGGAATAATATTAAAGTTTGCTAATTTTAAACAGAGATATAGTTGGTAAATCTCAAAAACACAAGATGCATCAATAGTTGACTCTGTTCAAAATTTAATTCCTTTTGAATAAATAAACCAAGATAAAAGATCTGAGGGAGCAAGATTGGGATATTCGTCAGGTAGTAAGATGGGGAGATTCGACAGGTAGTAATATTGGGAGATTCAACTGGGTAAGGCCCTCCTGATATATATGCATTCCCCATCATGCGAGTCCCGACTCAGAAAAAAACTGTCACTATAGGGAATAGGACACTATTGGTAAATAAAAAACACAGTGTTGGTGCCCATTATAGAAACATAGGAATAAGTCGACAATTTGACATTTTGGGTTTGATTATTTTATAACTGTAATCCCTCGTTTTGATTAGATATAATATAGAGCCGGTGTATTAACATTAAAAGAAAACCCGCCCTGTGAATTTTATGAAATGGTTCACTTAAAAAGAAACTTTATACAAGAAAATATTGAGTTATATCTGTTCCCAACCTGTAAAAATACTTTTACAATAGTACCTAAATTAATACTTTTGGACCTTTCCTTTGTACTTAAGTGCAAATTGTATAGATATATTGGTTGCAACTTGCAGCATTTTTTCTCGATGTGCATGTATACTTTTTGTCCTTTTAATTTTTCTCTGAAATTAATTTGTATGCTTGAATATATTTATTACCTGTTAGAAGAAGGAAAAGAGATGCATATTATTTGTATTGATTAAATGTTTACTGTAGTAGGGTGGTCGTAAGTTATTATAAACATCTGAATTTTTTAATTAAAAATGATAGATGTGTCCCTAGTGTTAAAAATTTTGCAATAAATGTCAGAAACGAAAATAAATAATTTTATTAGATATAGAATATTCAAGTTCATTACAATGGCACCAAAAAATATACACTCAAAGATAACGATACAATTGTTGTAAAAATGAAAACAACACGTTATAAATTTCATGCTTCGAAGCGCTTTTCTTGATTTACCTTCATCAGGAACGCTCAAAGCCGAATATTTGAAATCCAAGGATGTATAAGGACCAAAAACGTTGAAGAGCTATAAACCAAAAAGGACCTAAAAAAAATAGCCAAATCCATCTAAGGGAGTTGAAAACCTTGTAAATATTCTTACAATTTAAAGATCTAAGACCATAAAGACATGTCTCTCATGAGTTGAGACATTGAGGGCCCATTGTATAGGTGTAATATTTGAGATGGTGGCCATCAAAAATAGTGTTTTTCAATTCAGTGGTTTTTCCTCATAATCCTGGTGGATGTCTTGAGTTTTTGCATTAAGAGCACAGCTCTTTTAATGAAGTCGGTATACTGTGAAAATGAAGACGCCTATACACGTATCAATCTAAGACCAATATGTAGATGTTAAGGAGACAGTAGTTTACCGATGTCCAAATCTCGTAAATCGAATGTATTAGTACCAGATTCAATTAAGAAATGGGAATGTCATTCGATAGGGCAGATGATATGTTTCTGTGTGATAAAGAAAATACAACTTTTTGGAATTTTGGGTCCTCAATGCTCTTCAACTTTATACTTGTTTGGCTTTATAACTTTTTTTATCTGAGCGTCACTGATGAGTCTTATGTAGACGAAACGCGCGTCTGGCGTATTAAATTATAATCCTGGTACCTTTGATAACTATTTACACCACTGGGTCGATGCTACTGCTGGTGGACGTTTCGTCCCCGAGGGTATCACCATCCCAGTAGTCAGCACTTCGGTGTTGACATGGATATCAATTATATGGTCGTTTTTATAAATTTCCTGTTACAAAACTTTGAATTTTTCGAAAAACTAAGGATTTTCTTATCCCAGAAATAAATTACCTTAGCCGTATTTGGCACAACTTTTTGGAATATTGGGTCCTCAATGCTCTTCAACTTTGTACTTGTTTGGCTTTATAATTTTTTTGATCTGAGCGTCACTGATGAGTCTTGTGTAGACGAAACGCGCGTCTGGCGTATTAAATTATAATCCTGGTACCTTTGATAACTATTTAATCGAAAAACTGAAATATTCATATTTGTCAAAAGATCCTATATTGAGGCTGTCCATCTATGGCAATTTGAAGAAATAGAAAAGAATATTTACCACAATTACTATTTTTGGTAGTATTTGTAATATCACGTCGCCTGGGACATATGAGATGCAAGCTCTCTCCAAAATATTTTTTACTGAGTTGCATACTACCATTAATATCCGATAACTTGAAACTGACAAGAATCTTTTCCTTAGCAACCAAACAAGGCTAAGTAAATACAAAAAGTAAAGATCCAGAGGTTTCTATCATTGGCCTAAAATAAGTTGTTTTAATATACTTTATGCAAATTTCTTATAGTATCCATTCATTTCATTGGACACGCGGCAATTGTTAATTTTCACTAACCTTTCATAAGCCCCGCCCATCCATAGCAACATGTGATAATATGAGCAACTGGTATTAATGTCTAAAATTAACACCCGCTGAGCCCAAAGTTTGGCGATCCGGAACAAATAACTACCGCTCCGGCCGAGGTTTACCGATTCCTATTTCTACATCATTTCCGTCGTTTTATTGTTGTTATTAGTAAACTTTCTTAATTTATGACTTTTTTTTAAACAATTTTCCTTCTAATAGCATAATGCACACTTGAATCATAAGGCATTCAGTATAATAAAAATATATTGCCCTTGGATGAAGGTGTTAGGGTGATTAACACACTCGACTTCGTCTTGGCTGATATTTTTTTCCCTCGTGTGTTAATTTACCCTAACACCTTCATCCAAGGGCAGTTTGGTTACAAAGACAACTGACTTCAATAATCGAGATATAAGATGAAAAGAAAGATCAAGACCATATATGGAAATTTCATTCCAAAATGATGATGAAATATAATCACGTACTCAATTCAGAACATGAATAATATTAACGCTACCAATTTTGCTGCACCAGATGCGCATTTCGACAAGTAATGTTTCTTCAATGATGCTCGAGGCCAAAATATTTAAAAATTCAAGACCTAATACAAACGTTGATGACCTGATAAAACCAAAAGGTCCAAAAGTAAAGTCAAACCTGGACAATTAACCAGAACCATGCATTACATTCCTAAATTTAAGATAATTTAAAAATTTAAAACAGCACATTTAAGTAAAGCAATATCCGCATTTTCATGCCAATACTGAAGTACAGGCTACTGGGCTAATGAAAAGTGTATTTTCATTGAGTGCGACTCCAGTTGATTGGAAAGACGATATTTCACCTTTCAATCAGAAGTTTTGACAAGAGAACGTGCGATAAAAGTTTAAAGAACGCTCGATAAAAAAGAAAAAAGAAATCCCCAATGACTGTATCAGCAGAAATACTAATGTAACAAAAATGAATCTAATAGTCATTCCCTTTGCAAAACATATTTCCTGAGTCCATCAAAACTTTAGATTGATGAATCAGCCAGCATACACTTGTTGATTTCAAAGAAAGCACATGTTAAACTTTGAAACAAAACGTAAGAACAACTTTTTGACATGAAATCAAATAGACTAATGTAACCAATTTTGGAATTCTAATCATCGACTCAGTTTATCATAATTACATTGCTGAAACATTGTTTACCTTCACTCGGTTGCATGTTATCACGATTTTCTTTAATCTTTAAAAATATATACTTAACGTTATTCAAAAATTTTAAAAAAAATATCGGTTGGAAAAGAGGAAATATAAAATTTTAAATTTCAAGGTCATAACAAAAATGTTATGATTATTTTATCAATGTTTGTCGATGCCATTTTGTGTCTACATCTTTAATGTGTTCCTACGTGTTGTCCATACTAACAAAATATTCGTATGTAATATTCTGTACCTGCAGAGTGTTTCCTTTTGTTTGTTTCTAAGCCATATCTATCTTATTTCAGTTAAGCAGATCGATTTCAATCTTCCGTGTGCTTTGAAGGCGTATTCCGTTTATTTTATTAGTCCCATGTTATAGTTCAACCTCATACTCCTTCGGGTTTGACGGCATATTCCGTACTTTTCATATTTTTTTACTCTATATCCTTTATTTTTGTCCCATCCTTTCGGTCTTGTTAACGCTCTGATGTGTACAATTCTTGCCATATTTTTATGAAACTTATATCATTTGTTTATATCACCAAGTTCGAAAATCAGTGCCGATCAATTATTTTTAAAAGAGTTATGCCCCTTGTAAACATTAATTATATGGAAAAGTGCATCGTTAGTGCTCTCATGTGTACAATTCTTGCCAGATTTTTATGAAACTTATATCATAGGTTTATATAAGAAATGTCTTGGACGAGTTCGAAAATCAGTGCCGATCAATTATTTTTAAAAGAGTTATGCCCCTTGGAAACATTAATTATATGGAAAATTGCATTG